ACAAGCTGATCCAGCACGCTCAGATCCCGGCAGAGGACAGCGAGATCATCACCAACATGGCCCACCTCGGGGTGCCCATCATCACAGACGTGAGTGTGCTGCTCCCTGCCCTGCCCCCGTGCTCTGGCAGCCCTGGGGTGGCCCGGGGGGTGTCCCTGGTGCTGCTGTGGCTCAGGGTGTCCCTGTGCTCCTGCCCAGTCCACGCTGCGCCGCCGGAGCAAGCCGGAGCGCAAGGAGCGCATCAGCGAGCAGACCTACCAACTGTCCCGGTGGACCCCCGTCATCAAGGACATCATGGAGGTGAGCCAGCAACCAGGACAGGCCTGGGAGACAGGGCAGGGGATTCCAGAGCCACCCAGGAAGGGACTGCACAGAGCTGGGTGCTCCCAGCCCAGACCCTGGCACCTCTCTGAGCTGGCTGCTCCCTGCCTGGGGTTGGGATATTTTGGGAGGTTTACCTGGCCCCAGGTGGGGTGCACAGAATCACAGAGTGTGATGAGTTGGAAGGGATGCTAAGGATCATCAAATCCAACTCTTGGCCCAGCCCAGACCCCCAAAATCCCACCCTGTCCATCCCTGGCAGCGCTGGCCAAAGGCTCCTGGAGCTCTGGCAGCCTCGGGGCCGTGCCCATTCCCTGGGGAGCCTGGGCAGTGCCAGCACCTCTGGGGGAAGAACCTTTCCTGCTCTCCAGCCTGAGCTGCCCTGGCCCAGCTCTGGCCGTGCCCTGGCTCCTGTCCCTGTCCCAGGGAGAAGGGATCAGTGCCTGCCCCTCCTTTTTCCCTCCTGAGAAACTTTTGGACTGCAGTGAGGTCTCCCCTCAGTCTGCACGGCCCAATCCAGGCTTGTCCAGCATCCCTGGATTACAAATGTGCTAACAACTTGACTGGCTGTGTGTGTGCCACCATGGCCACCAAGGTTGGGTGGCCTTGTCAAAGCCTTGCCCATGTCCCAGCAGAGCCAGGGGACAGGCATGGCTCTGTACTGCTGTGTCTGTGTCCCCAGGAGCTCTGCACCGGGATAGCCCTGGCTCAAACCAGCAGAGCTGCAGCTCCCTCATGTCCCAAAAGCACAGAGTTCATGTTTTCCTTTGCCACAACCCCCCCGAGCAGGGTGGCTTCACCCCCAGGACACCCCTCAGCCTCACCCCAGGGCAGAGGGGTCTGCCCAGGGCAGCAGCAGCTCAGCAAGCTGTCCTGGGTGGCCCTGGGTGACACACTGGCAGTGGGTGCCTGGTGCTGCAGGGGGATCCCAGGGCTGGAACCTCCAGCTCAGCCCCTCTCCTGAGCCTCTCAGGAGGGGAATCCTGGGCACAGCCCTGCAGAAGGGCTGTGGGGCCGGGGCTGTGCCTGGCTGACCCAGGCCTGTGGCTCTCTGCCCTCAGGATGCCATCGATGACAAGCTGGACACCAAGCACTACCCGTACATCTCCACCCGCTCCTCCGCCTCCTTCAGCACCACTGCCGTCAGGTGGGTGCCCCTCCTGCCTGCCCGTGCCCACCTGGGCACTGTCAGCATCCATCCCGCCCCGCCCCAGGGATGAACCCTGCTGGGAGCTCATCCCGTGCCTCAGTTTCCCCTCAGGCACTTCATGTCTCCATCCCTTTGAGGCACCCCGGGTCTCAGTTTCCCTCCAGACAGCCTGTGCCTCTGTATCCCTTTAGGAATCCCTTGTGTCAGTTTCCCTCAGGCATCCTGTGCCTCAGTTTCCCTTCAGGCACCCTGTATTTCCATTTTTCTTTTGGCATCCTGTGCTCCAGTTTCCCTACAGATATCCTGTGTCCGTGTTTCCCTTTAGGAATCCTGTGCCTTCGTTTCCTTCAGGCATCCCATTCCTCAGTTTCCCTTCAGGCATCCAATTCCTCAGTTTCCCTTCAGACATCCCATTCCTCAGTTTCCCTTCAGACATCCGATTCCTCAGTTTCCCTCCAAACATCCTGTGCCTCCATTTTCCTTTAGGAATCCCATTCCTCAGTTTCCTTTCAGGCACCCAATTCCTCAGTTTCCCTCCAGACATTCTTTGCCTCAGTTTCCCTTCAGGCATCCCATTCCTCAGTTTCCCTCCAAACATCCTGTGCCTCCATTTTCCTTTAGGAATCCCATGCCTCAGTTTCCCTATGCCTCACCTTCCCTTCATGCACCCATGCCTCCATTTCCCCCATGGCATCCTGTGCCTCAGTTTCCCTCCAGGCATCCCGTACTTCTGTTCCCCTATAGCAATCCCATGCCTCAGTTTCCCTTTAGGAATCCCATTCCTCACTTTCCTTTCTGACAACAGTGCCTCAGTTTCCCTCCAGGCATGCCGTGCCTCAGTTTCCCTCCGTGTAACAGCGAGCAGCACTCGTGGCTGGAGCGCTGGACTTGCCCTGCTGCAGCAGCAATGTCTGTGTGATTTAACTGAGATGTGGTGCCCGTCCTTCACCCTCCTCTTCCTCTCCTCAGTGCCCGCTATGGCCACTGGCACAAGAACAAGGCCCCGGGCGAGTACCGGAGCGGCCCCCGCCTCATCATCTTCATCCTGGGCGGGGTGAGCATGAACGAGATGCGCTGCGCCTACGAGGTGACACAAGCCAGCGGCAAGTGGGAGGTGTTAATAGGTGAGTGCTGGCCCCGGGGCTGGCCCGCCCTCCTGGCTGCTCATCCCACCTCCATCCCGCACATTCCGGCCTCCAGACGCTGCGGGAGCTGGAACTCTGCGGAAAGGTTTCCCCCCGGACATCTCTTGGCACCCCTGTGTGTCCCCCGTGTTCCCCGTCTGGGTTGTGTCACTCCAAACATCCTCGTTTTTGCTTCCATTTTTTCACGTCTCCTGGCTGGTTTTGTCTGAGCAGGGATGGGTGAGAGGGGAGGAGGTTTGGCAGCTTGGATTGCTCCTCGGTTTTGGGGTCATTATAGGAAGGAAAGTGGAAAATAAAGAGGGGTGCAAACAGGAACCAGGTTTTTCAGGGTCAGCTCCCATCTCTGCTCCCAGGGGAGCTGTCAGTCAGGCACAGAGGACACAGTGGATGCTCTAGCAGGTGGTAGCAAGGAGCTGTTAGGTCCCTAAAATTCCTCTGGGAAGCACAGCTGGATGCACAGCTTGGATACACACCTTGTAGGGCACAGGCGGGTGTCCTTCACCATCTGATCTGATGCCTGGTGGAGCCTGTCCCCAGCATCTCTTCTGCTCCTTGGGAGCAGCACCCAGTGTCCATCACCTCCTGCTGCCCCAGCCACCCATCCCAGCTCCATCCTGCCTGTCACCATCTCATCCCGCCTCTCTCCAGGGTCCATCCCCTGCATGCGCCTCTGAAGCTCCGGGCTCCACCTGCCTCCTTCCTCTTCCTCTTCCTCTTCCTCTTCCTCTTCCTCCCCCAGCAGCAGCTGCTGGTGGTGGTGGTGGTGGTGGGGGAGCCTCGGCGCAGCCGTCAGCCCCGCTCTGTTCTCCTGCAGGTTCTACTCACATTCTCACTCCCACCAAATTTCTCATGGACCTGAGGCACCCCGACTTCAGGGACTCCACTAGGGTATCATTTGAGGATCAGGCTCCAGCAATGGAGTGAGCCAAAGAAACCAAGTAAAGGCAGCTTACTGATGAAAAAGAAACTCTTCCTCCCCGAAGGGTTTTCTTTGATTCTTCCGTTCCTCCTTTTTTTAATCGTTGTTTTGGGGTTTGTTGGGTTCTCCGATTAGAAAATGCTTGCGGTTCCTCCGAGCAGGTGGAAAAGCATCCGGCGTCGCTCCATCACCCCTCAGCCATGTCCCCTGGCCAGCTCCTTCATGCCATGAGCTCCTCCTCGCCAGGGCTGGAGGGGTCAGGGTCCTGCCTGCCCCATGGAGGCGTCCCAGGGCCGGGCAGGGGGACAGAGCTCCTGCCTGGGAGTGGCTGGAGCGGGGCTGGGGGAGAGGGGCAGCAATGGAGAGCCCAGCACTCATCCTGGTCCATCCCCAGGGATGGGCACTGCTGGGAGCCCCAGCTCTGGGGTGCCCTGGGGCTGTAATCCCACTCAGCTCAGGTTTGCTCATGGGTAGGCAGGAGCCTCGTGACCTTGTGGACCCCCAGACCCTTCTCTGGGGTTCAGCTCCTGCTGGTTTCACCACTGAGTGCCACCCCAGCATCCCCCGTGCGCTGGTCCCTGCAGGGCCAGGGTGGCTGTGGGGCTGAGCTGGTGTGGGCAGCATGGTGGGACCCCCACAGGCACCATGCTGGGGGCCCCCCGAGTGAGGGGCAGCCGAAGGCGAGAACCTTTTGTTTTCCTTGTGCCGTCCCACCCCTCCCGGCCTCCTCTGTGTCCCCAGGATGCTCCGTGCAGGTTGGGGGACCTGGGGAAGGTCCCTCCACGCTGGCTGTTCCCTGCTCTCCACCCCTGCACCCACGGTGCCTCTTGCATCCCCCGTGGGTCCTGCAGTGACCCCGGTGCCACAACCCCCCTGCACTGGCACCTGCTGTCCCTTGCCTCATCCCGCCAGCTCCATCCCTCGCTCCATTCCTCCTCCTCCGTCCTTTTCCCGTTCTCCATGCCCCCAGAGCCCACCCCGTGCCCATAGGCTGCATTTCCTCGCAAGCATTTCCAGCGGCGCGGGGCCGGCGCCGCCAGGTAAGGGGGACCCGGGACAGCGGGGACGGTGGCCGTGTCCCAAAGCCATCACTGATCCCCTTGCACCCCTTCTCCTCTGCTCCCACAGGCTCCACGCACATCCTCACCCCACAGAAACTGCTGGACACGCTGAAGAAACTCAATAAAACAGAGGAGGAGAGCAGCAGTTAAAAGGAAACGCTGTCACCACTCGATGCCGACCCACGTCCCCGCCGGGCGCCCAGCCCCGGGTGCCACCCTGCACCCAGTGGGCCCAGCTTCTCTCTTGTTCTTGTGTTGACCCCCCCCCTCCCCTCCCAGCGCCTTCCCCATCTCATTTTATCCACAGGGAGGGGATAACAGCCAAAAAAAATAATATATATATATATATTAAGAAAATGGATGCATTGTGTTTAAGAGAAAAAGGAAAAAAAAAATTCTATATATTTGTAGCTGCAGCTGTGGGAAGCGCCCCAGGAGCTCATTGCTGAGTAACCATCTGCCCATTGCTATTGAATATGGTGGGGAAAATGACAGAAAACACATTTTTTTGGGGAATGCTCCTCATTGGGGTCTTGTTTGGATGGGAGGACGGATGGACGGACACCCCACACCGCTCCAGCCACTGCTCAGGCTGGCACCACCACCTGTCCCATGGCTTTTGGGGCAGGGGGTGCTCCTGCCAGGTGTGCACGCCAACATCTGGATGGGAATTTGGGGTGGGGGTGGTGTGGGAGTGCAGCCAGGACACCTAACACCGTGGTAATTCCCGTGTGAAAAGGGACCAAACTGGTCAAATCTGGGAGCTGGGGCCTGTCCGCTTGCACAGCCCTGCCTCCCTCTCTGGGAATTCCTTCAAAAATACATATATATATATATATAAAATAAAAATCTATTTATATATATATATCTGTGCTATCTCTCCATGGATACCTCTCTCCATCCACCCCCACGGGAGCTCGGTGCCCGTGCCCAGCTCCACTCGTGTCGTCCCGTGGTGAAGCGTTTCTGAGCGTGCCGTCACCCTGAGACCCCCCAAAAACCCTCTGGGCCCTCCCCAAAACCCCCCTGGGGCCCTCCAAACCCCCCCAGGCCCCCCCAAACCCTCTGGACTCTGTGTATATTAATGACTGTGTCTTGTGACGTTCTTACGAGCTTGGTGTATAGTGATTTCCCCAAACTTCTGATTTTAGTTGGGTTTTTATTTGACGCCCCTGGATTGCCCCCTGTCCCTTGCCTTTAGATGCACTGCAATATTTTGGGGTCTATGGTTTTGTTCTCTTCCCCCTGAAGGCTGTGACCCCCCTTTTCCTACCCTAAAATTGCTCTTTCTTGCCTCGTTGGTGGTTAGCCCCCCCCTTTCCCTTCCCTTCCCGTCTGCTCCTTGCCCATAAAGTTAAATATATATTTTTAGGGCAAAGGCTGTATCATTGCACTGATATTTGTTGGTTCCCCTTTGGTCTCCCAGCCCGTTTCTGTTCCTCTTTGGTTTAGCAATGCAAATGCTTCAGGATCTTGTATGTTGGACATTATTATTATTATTATTATTTTTTCTGTTACAGTTATTTATATAAAAAATAATTTATCAAAAAGGAAAACTTAAAAAAAAATAATCTAGTCTGTCTTGGAACTTGTTTACCTTGAAATTACTGGAATCTAAATGTTTGAAAGTGTTGAAGCACAAACATGTATCATCTCTGTATATCTGTTCTTCTGTACTAAAGCACTCGAGTGACTAAATAAAAGCGATCTCCATCCCTAGTGCAACTGGGGCTGTGCTGTGCTGCTCCCTCAGGGCCAGGAAAACAGGGAAAAGGCATGGGAAAATATTCCCTCCAACCCCAAGGGAGAGCTCCTGGTGTGGTGATGCCAAACCTCCCCCTAGGAGTGGCTTTGGGAAGGAAAATCAGCACACGAATCATCCAACTGCGTTTATTTCCTTCAAAAATAAGTGATTTCTTCGTACAAAATACCACCCCAGTGGCTCTGCTGGGCGTTAAAAAATAGGAGATAGGGAGAAAAACCCATCATTTGGTCCTGGCTACTGCATTTGGGATAATTACTCACACTTTTCACACGCTTCCATCATGCCCTGCCTGGGCTGGGGAGTCACAGCTTCCAGCTTGGGGCACAGGCATGAGCAGAGGCAACCAGAGACAATAAAACCTCTTTAAAACCCCCCAAACCTCTTTAAAATCCCCCAAACCCAGCCCTCTCACCCCAAAAAAGGAGCAGGGGGCAGCCCCATTCCCAACCCCTCTGGGCTCATGTCAGGATCAGGCTCAGGAGGGGCTTGGAAAGCTCCAGCCCTGAGTCCCTCACTGATCCCCCCTCCAAATGTGGGTATTTGTACAACAAATAAAAGATAAATAAATACATTTGACACTGGCACTTCAGGTAGGTCCTACAGATAAACACAGGGAGCAGGGGGTTTGGCTGGACCCATCCCAGGAAAAGCTGCCCCAACCACATCATTTTCCCTAAAAAATAGGCATTAACCCCTTAGAAACCCAGCTGGGAGGAAGAACAGGGGCTCCACAGACCCCACAGCTGCTCTGGTCTCAGCAGGTGACGTTTCCTCCACCAGCCCAGCTTCCCTGAGGATCCCAGAGGGAAAACCTCAAATCCTTCATTTTATTCTCAGCCTGGATGATGCTGTGGGTGGCCACATCCAGAGATGACCAGAAAAAAGCCCCACAAATGCCCTAAGGGTTGTGCTGGAAATGCAAACCAGAATATTTATATATATGTATCTGTAGAAAGATATATCTATAAAATCAGATACAGATCTGTACGTACACAGATCCATTTATAGCTGTCTCTCTAGATGTAGACATATAACTAAACACAGATATGTCTATATCTAGATATATCCATTTATAGATACACATATATCACACACACACATTACAGCTCATCAATCAACACTCAAAAGAGTGATTTAGCTGCTTACTAGCTAAAAAATTCACATAAAAACCATAAAAAAAATAAATTTCCCCAGGGAGGATCGTGCTGGGTTGAAGTCCAAGGGCACAGGGCGCAGCCTCCTGAGGAGGCCTGAGGGTGGGGAAGGGTGGGATGGGGGATCCCAGGGGGTCCCAGGGATTTCTGCCCCCACAGGCACTGAGGTAACACAGCTGCCAAGGGGGCTCGACCCACACGAGGTCAGAGCATCCCCACAAGTGCTCAGGGTGGGGTGGCCACCGCCCTGGGGGGACACAGGGCCACCCCGCTGCTGCCAGGGAATGCTGGAAACTTCTGCCCATGGGGGGACCTGCAGAGGGACAGACAGACGGACGGACAGGCCGTGCAGGGAGTGCAGGGAGAGCGGGAGCGGGCTGGGAGCCAGGGCAGGACCTCCAGGAGGCACCTCCAGCCCTGCTGGCCCCAGGTTTGGCAGGGAGCAGCTGAGGGGCTCATCCTCCGCTCCCGGTGGCATGGACGGGCTGGAGGTGCCAGCGGGGCCCTCAGAAGAGGCTGGAGGTGCCTTCAGAAGAGGCTGGAGGTCCAGCAGAGCCCTCAGAAGAGACAGGAGATCCAGCAGGGCTCTCAGAAGAGGCAGGAGGTCCAGCAGGGCTCTCAGAAGAGGCAGGAGATGCCCTCAGAAGAGGCAGGAGGTCCAGCAGAGCCTCAGAAAAGGGAGAAGGTGTCAGTGGGGCCCTCAGAAGAGGCAAGAGGTGCTCTCAGAAGAGGTGGGAGGTGCCCTCAGAAGAGGCAGGAGGTGTCAACAGGGCTCTCAGAAGAGGCAGGAGGTACCAGTTGGGCCCTCAGAAGAGGCAGGAGATGCCCTCAGAAGAGGCAGGAGGTGTCAGCAGGGCTCTCAGAAGAGGCTGGAGGTGCCAGTGGGGCCCTCAGAAGAGGCAGGAGATCCAGCAGGGCTCTCAGAAGAGGCAGGAGGTGCTCTCAGAAGAGGCAGGAGGTGCTCTCAGAAGAGGCAGGAGGTGCTCTCAGAAGATGCAGGAGGTCCAGTGGGGCTCTCAGAAGAGGCAGGAGCCGCGCAGGCCCCGTGGCCGGCCCAGCTCGGTGGCCAGTGCCCGGCTGATGCGGCTGGTGGCCAGCCTGGCGCTCTGGGCAGCCTGCAGAGCCCGGCTGAGGGACCAGTCCAGCTCCTCCAGCTCCTCCAGCTGCAGGCTCAGGCAGCGCTGGTGGCCCTGGGGCCGGGGGGGACGCTCTGCCCGCCGGGGCCCCACGGGGACAGCCAGGGGGACCCCGGCCAGGGCTGGGGCTGAGGTAGGAGCTGCTGGGGAGCAGTAGCTGGGAGGAAGAAGGGACACGGGCTCGGTGACGGGTTCTGTGCCACCACTACACCCAATTCCCATCCCTCTTGCCCATCTCCCCCATGCCCACCCCACAGCACCACCCCCTCAACAGAGGAGCTGGTGGCCGTGTCACCCCACAATGGATCCCTGGGGTGGGGACAGCCCCTCCTGGGTTCCCCTCACCCCTGGGGGATGCTGACCCTCCCCGAGCCCCCTCCCAGCCCCAGGGCATCCTTACAGCATGGAGGGCACGTAAGGCACGAGGGGGACGGGTGCCAGGCAGACAGTGGCAGCAGGAGCAGCAGGAGTGGCTGCCAAGTACCAAATTCCGGGTTGCTCTGGTTTCTCGGCTCCTGGGGGACAGGAGCCACCAGGGCCACGCTCTGCTGAGGGGAGGAAGGTGGTTAGATGTCCCCATGGGAGTTCAGTGCCCCCAGGGGTGTGCATGGAGTGGCAGCCCCAGTGCCATCACCCCCTGTGCCACACTGGGTGGGCACAGTCCCCAAGCACTGCCTGGGGGATGAGGTTGTTCCTTGTCCCACCAGCCAGCCCCCACGCAGGGAGGAGCTGTGCCAGGCACGTGTCACCCTTGTCACCCACCGTGTGTGGCTGTGTCCCTGCTGCCCGGCGCAGAGGGGCCCGTGGGTGCCCGGCAGCTGGGGCAGGACGTTCTCCTGGGGGTGCTGTGCTGGGGCTGCCGGGGGGTGTCACCTCCCCCCGATGCAGCTGTGGAGAGAGGACATCAGGAATGGCCCGTGCAGAGCCAGCCAGGGATGTTTGGGGAGAGCTGAGGGGTTTGGGGGGGGCTGATGAGATTGGGGGGTTTCCCTGCAGGGAAAGGGGGGTCTGCAAAGGTGGGCTCTGAGACAGGGCTGGGGACAGGTGACAGCGCTGCCGGTGACACCAGGAAACCCAGGGAATCCCAGGGAATCCCAGCAATCCCAGGAATTTCTGCCCACACAGACACAGATGCCAAGGGGGGTTTGACCCATGCAGGACCCCCGTGAGGTGATGGCATCCCCAGAGCTGCCCAGGTTGGTGGCCCTGGGGGACAGTGGGGTCTGGCCAAGGGACAGTGAGGGGAGCCTCAGGCCATGAGCAATGGGTTTGTCTGTCCCCTCCCTAAGCCTCTCCAGTTAATTAATGAAGGTCATCAGCAGCTGTGAGGGGTGGTAGGGAAGGGAAGGGGCTGGGTGCCACTCACCTGATGCCATCCTGCCCCTGTGACACCGGGGACACCCCGAGGTGCCCGGCTCTTCTCGGGGTGCCGGGGTGGCACGTGGTGTCCCCGCCTGGTACCGTGTCCCTGCCAAAGCCCAGCGTGAGCACGGCCAGGGTCCCCAAGGTGAGGGTGGCCGCCCTCAGCCCCACCACGGACCGCCAGCAGCACCCACCTGTGTCACCCGTGTGCTGTCCCTGGGATGTCACCGGCCCTGGCGGCTTCCCAAGGTGCTTCCACAGGGCGGGGGGTGCCCGGGGCCTGGCAGGTGAGGGCTCTGACTCGGAGGCTGCGGTGGAGGACAGGGAAGAGGGGTGGCATCCGCTGGCACCCAGCTCCAGGCCTGCAGGACCCGCCCTGGGCTGAGCACTGCGGGCTCCGTGGGACCACCAGGACCTGGTCCCCACGGTCCTGCAGCCCCACACCATCCTGCTGCCCTGGGGAGGGTGAGTGGCACGCAGGGAGGAGCGTGTCCCCTCTGTCCCCACGGTCCTGCAGCCCCACACCATCCTGCTGCTCTGGGGAGGGTGAGTGGCGCGCAGGGAGGAGCATGTCCCCTCTGTCCCCACGGCGGTGGGGTCCCCCTTACCGAGGTCCAGCTCTGGCCTGTCCCGTGGCAGCGATGCTGACCTCTCCCTCCGCGTGGGTGTGAGCCCAGGGGCCACCCTGCCCCGCACCGGGGGGCTCGGGTCCCTGCAGAGGGGACAGAAACGCTGTCACCACCTCCGCAGGATGAGGATGATGCTGTCCCCACGCTGCCCCCCACACCCCCCAGGTGCCCCCTGCCACCTACCCCGAGGGTGCCACGTCCTGCGGGGCTGATGTTCCGCTGGTCACCGGCTGTCTCCTGGCCGGGGTGACACCGGGAGTGGCTTTTCCCCCAGGATGGCTGCGGGAGCGCAGCAGGATCTCCTCCAGCCGCAGCCGCAGCCGCCACACCTCGTCCTGCAGCGCCTGGATGGCCTGGCTGCCCCAGGATGGCCCAGTGAGGGGGGCTGCAGCCAGCAGGGACCCCAACAACCCCCTCCCACATCCCCCATCCCCACCCAGCGGCTGTGACCCTCCCCAAAACCAAGCCTGGGGTTGGGTCGGTGCCCAGTGCCCAGTGGGTGCCTCTGGTGGGGTCCCGGTGTCACCCAAGGGGGTCTGCCCTGGTTTGGGGCAGGGGGACACGGCCACTCACTCGCGCTGCAGACGGGAGCCCAGCAGGTCACAGGCAGCCGGCTCGGGGGATGGCAGGTCGGGGGACAGGAGGGTGGGGGATGGCGTTTCGGGGGATGGCAGGGGGCTGCTCGGGCTCCTGGCCATGGCTGGGGGGTGGCCACCGGCACTGGCACAGCTCCTGTCTCCCACCTCCGAGTCCGTGCGAGCTGGGGAGGAAGGGGAGCTGGGATCAGACAGCAGAGACTGGGACACACCTCCCTCCAGGCAGGGTGACACCAGCACCAGGAGGGGGTCCAGAAATCCCAAAAACCAGAGCCACAAAGCCAGGATCCCCCCAGATCTCTGTCCCTTGCAGATTCCTGTGTACTCACTGCCATCACCGTCGGGGTCTGGCCCCACCTCGCTGCCCGCACCCCAGTGAGGGGGGGAGCTGCTCTGAGAGGGGCTGCTGGGGGGCAGCCGGGGTCCCCCTGTGCCCTCAGGTGGGTAGATGCCCATCAGTGCTGCCTCGGAGGGCAGCGGGCTCGTGTCTCTCTTCCGCGGGGTACGGAGGCTGCTGGGGATGGGGACAGAAGGTCCCAGCGAGCCCAGAGTCCTGCGGAAAGGATGGGTTTGGGTGATGTGGGCAGCCCCCAGGGCTCCCCCCGGCCACGGGCACTCTGCACATCTCCAGCCCAGCCAGAACCTTGATCCCCACACCCTCAGTGCCTCTCCCTCCATCCCTGCTCCCCTTCAACCCCCCAGACCCGCAGGCAGGGCCGTGGGCCGTACCCCGGGCCAGGGGGAGGATGCTCAGGGGTGGGCACCGTGGGTGACACCCTGCTGGCCTCCGAGCCCACGAAGCCGCTGTCGGTCTCTGGGGACACGATGCGCTGCTCCTGCAGAGGCACGGGGACAGCAGGGTCGGTGTCCAGCAGCCCGGGGGGCTCTGGGGGGATCTCAGGTGGGGACCCACAGTCCCAGGGACTCACCGTGCGGGTCCCGTGCTGGGTGGCACTGCTGCCTGTCCCACGGAGGGACAGGGGCACCCGTGGTGGCCCAGGGACCTCCAAAGGCTTGGCAGAGGGTGGTGGCTCCTCAGCAGTGGCAGGGGAGGGGTGGCTCCGTGTCTCCTCCAGGTTTGGGGATCCTCTGGGGGGAAGTGTCGCAGCTCTTCTCTGTGGGAGGTGCCTGCAGGGAGAGGATGGAGCGGGAGGGATGGGGCAGAGAAACTCCAGACACGGGGAAATGTCCTGGTCCAGCTCTGCCCTGGAGGCCGTTAACTCCGAGGTAAAACTGGAGCCCCGATGTCAAAGCTCCTGCTCACCCTGCCAGGGACCCGACCTCCCACAGCACTTACAGGGGCAAGGACTCGAGGCTGGGCCCCTCCTCCAGTGACCGTGTCCTGCAGGGGACCGTGCTGGGGCCACTATCCCCTGCCGCGGGTGCATCCACCTCCTCCTGGGAGCCGCTCCCCGCCAGGCTCAGCTGCTCCAGGCTCAGCGACTCCGGCAAGGACCTAAAGTGCTTGTACCTGGGGGGACCCACAGGCAGGAGCGGGTGGCTTTGGGACATGCTCCCTGCCCGTGTCCCCCCTGCCCCACTGTGAGGGCACTCACTGCTCCAGCAGGTCCCCGAAATCCTCCTCCACTTGGCGCTGTTTGTGCCAGAGGGGCCAGGGCAGCCCCCCTGCCACCCCGTCGCTGTCCCCTGCTGTCCCCCGAGGACCTCCCACCAGCGCAGGGCTCTGTGGGCACAGCAAAAGGGGGTGAGAGGGGCAACCCCCAAAAATGCAGTGGGGTGGGGAACCTTTGCACCCTCAGCTCACCTCGGGGTGCGGGGAGTGGGCAGCCAGGGGTGGGGACGGGTCTGGGGGGCAGGGGGGCTGCGGGAGGGGCTGCGGGAGGGGCTGAGGGAGGGGCTGCCGCCTGCCCCCCAGCTCCAGCCGCTCCTTCAGCCCCTCCAGACGCAGCCCCAGGCGGTAAATCTCCCCTTCCACTGCCCTGCAAGACACCAGCAATCAGTGCAGGGGGGACAGCGACCCCCGGGGACTCTCCGGGGGCTCCGGGGAGGGGGTGGCAGTGGGATCGAGCACGTACCGGTCAGGATCAAACCCCCCCGCCGCCGCCGGGAGCTGCTGCCGGCCCCTCAGGTACTCCCGCTCCAGCGCATCCTGCGCGTCCTTCAGCATCCTCATCCTCTGCGGCACAGGGTGCAGGGTCCGAGCCTGCCCACGGGGCCCCGGGCACCCCCCGTGGCCCTGCCGCCCCCCAGGCTGGGGTTGGGGAAGGGACAGACGCACCTGGAGCTGTTCCGAGGGGGTGGGGGTCCCTGCACGCAGCCAGCTTTCGAAGGATTCCACCTGGCCGGGGTTGTAGGGGCTGAGCCCGGCCCTGCTGTGCCTCATACGAAACATCCCCGGGGACTGCTCCAGCGCGATCCCCCACTGCAGCCCCCTCCCCACAGCCCCTCAATCCAGACCCCCTCCACAGCTGCCCCCTGTGCAGCACTTCCCCAGCCCATCCCTTCAGTCCCTCCCAGAACTCCCCCCAAATCCCCTCTCTGCTGCCTTGTAGCCCCAAAATCCCTTCTCCATGCAGCCCCCCGAAGCCCCCCTCTTCACAGCTCCCCTTTCGTGCCCCTCTCCTCGCCCCGGCCCTTACCTGTGCCTGCAGCCTGCGGCTCTGCCCCGCCAGGGCCCGGGTGAGCCGGGGCCCGGGGCAGCAGCACGGCCCGGGCCAGGTGGGGCAGGTGGGGCAGCCCCCCCCGGGCACAGGAGGGGAGCGAGGTTGGGGTGAACCCCCCAGTTCTGACGGGGCCGGGGCTGCAGCTGCGGGAAAACACGAGGACAAGTGACACCGCTGCCACGGTGACACCAGCGTGGGGAAGGGGCTGCGGGAGAGAATCCCCCCAGACCCGGACCAACACACCTGCGAGGTTGTGGGATAAGGATCAACACACCTGTACCTGGCGAGGCCGGGGCTGTGGCCACGCCGAGAGCCGCTGTCCGTGCCCGTGGGATGCTCAGGGTCATCACACGGCTCCCGGTGCCCACGGTGCCCACGGCGAGGCTGCGGCTGGGCTGCGGTGGGTCGGAGAACAGGCTCACCTGGGCAGGGAGAGCGGGTTCGGGCAGCCAGCCTGCACCCCGATCCACCCACCGTGCCCCGGAGCACCCTGAGCACCGCACGGGCTCAGCAGTGGGTGCGGTGAAGGTGGTGACACGTGTGGGGGGGCGGTTGGCACGGCCCTGCCTCAGTTTCCCCACCCACGCGGTGGCACAGGTGACACGGGGAAGCAATTCCGCCCGTGGCTCTGCCATCTCAGAGATGTGCCCCGCCATCCCGGGGACAATCCGGCTCAGCCACCGCCCTGGCACGGAGGGGACCCCGCAAGGCCAGGGGGGCGCGGTGCTGCCCGGGCTGCCGTGGGCTCTGCCGTGTTCTCCACCGTGTTCTCCACCCCCTGGGCTGGGAGCGCTCAACCGCAGCTCCCCGGGAGGAAGAGGAAGAGGAGGAAGGCACAACACATAACCTCAGGGAGGGGAACCCCCCCAGGCATGCTGAACCCCCACCCACCCTGGCGCCCAGGCGCAGCTGGTCGATGGTGTTCTCAGCCTCGGCGTACTTGGTCAGCAGCTTGTGGTAGTCGTCCTGCGGGGAGGGGACACCAGTGGGGGACAGCACCCGGCACGGGGGATGCCCGAGGGTTGGGTGCTGCACTCTGCAGGGACAGCACGGAGCGGGAGTCCCATGGGTGGGGTGCAGAGACCGCCTCTCCAAAACACCCCACCCCTCTGTGCAGATGTGACCCCCACATCTCTGCGTGGGGAGAGCCCCCTCTCCTCCCAGCGGCACGAACATCCTGAGGGTCACAAGCTCTGTGGGGGTGACCGGCATCCCGAGGGGGACATGAGCACTGCCCACATCCCTGCTCCTTCCCTCCTCGCCAGCTCCGTGCAGGACCGGGAAGGAATGCCCAGCACCCCATGGGCGTCCCAGAGACAGTGACACCCCAATTTCCCCGCACGCCCTGCTCCCCCCACCCTGCAGGGCTGAACGGGGCGAGCTGGGCGATACCTGCAGCTGCTGCACCAGCGCCGTGGCTTGTCTGGGGGACCTGAGCTCCTGCGGCAGCCCGGCCGTGCTGGGGGGCTGCGGGGGCACCCCCTCCCCGCTGCTCAGCAGCACCTCCCGCACGATTTCGGCCGGGGATTTGAAGCCGATGGGACCCCCGGGGCCGCGGGGGCGGGCGGGCAGCACCCGGCCCCGGGGCGGGCGGTAGCTCTGGTTGAACTTCACCCGCGCCTCCACCTTGGACAGGTCGGGCAGGGGGTGGTTGAGGCGCCCTCGGCCGTACTGGGTGCCCTCGGTGCCCGTTCCCGAGGGATCCCTCGTGCCCTTGGCACCCGTTCGCCTCCGGGGGCTCAGGGACCGCGAGTGCCGGGCGGGCTTGGGGGGCACCGCCGCGGGCGCTGCTTTCTTGGGCGCTCGGGATCTGCCGTGCCCTTGGGGTGCCCGGGCATTCCCGGAGCCCTGGGGGTGCCCTGGGGGTGCCAAGCCAGCGGTGCCGGGGGTTGGCATCCCTGTGCCGGGGGCTGGCATCCCTGTGCCAGCTCTCTGCGGCTCGGGGACACGCTCGGGGCTGGGGCCGTCGGTGGAGAGCTGCAGGGGGAGGCTCCGTCTCGGGCTCCACTCCTGCCTGTGCCCCCCGATGGTGTCCCCGGCCGTGCCCCAGCCCTGCTGCTGGCGGGACGGGGTGCCAGGGCCAGGGCTGGTGTCCGAGAGCCCTGAGGTGTCCCCCCGGTCCGTGCTGCAGCCCCGGGGCTGGCAGAGAGCCCGGCCGTCCCTCACCGCCTCGGGGCTGCCGCTGGAGCCCGAGCCCCAGCGACCCCCAGGGGACAGCTCGGGGTAAGGGTCCCCAAGCTCGGGGTAGGGGTCCCCATCGCTCTCTGCCCCCCAGGGCCCCTCGTCCCCCCCGGAGCTGCCCCGCTCCTCATCCTCCTGGGCCGGGTCCTGCCGCGGGTGCCAGCGCCCCTCCTCTGCCGGGGACCCCTCCTGCAGGTCCTCAGTGTCACCTGCAAAACAGCGGCACGGCGGGGCTGTCACCACCCCGGTGTCCCAGCGGTGTCCCCTGGCTCCAGCAGCTCCCGGGACATTTGGGACCAGCCCTTTCGGGCAGGACTCACCCCACGGTGGGCTCCTGGCACCCTCCCCCAGGCCAATCACCCCATCCTCGTCCATCCGCCTTTCGAAGTCGTCTTCTTCCTCCTCCTCCTCCTCCTCCTCCTGCTGCTGCTGCTGGCCCTGCCAGCGCCTCAGCTGTGTTTGTGTCCAGCGCAGCCATGGTGCCGGGCTGGCCATGGCCGCGGCCACCCAGCCCTGTCACTTGTGTCGCTTCATGGCCCGGCGGCGGTGGCGGCGGGCTGGGGACATCCTTGTCGCGAATGTAGGTCACAGCATCGCCGCCGCGTCCTGGGGGGGCCGGGGGAGAGGGAGGGATGCTCAGCGGGACATGGTGGGCTCTGTTTGAGGTGTGGCAGGGTCCTCCCTGTCCCCCAAATCCTGGGGACAAGATCCCCAGGACAGGGGGGACACCCTCAGATCAGACCTCCCCACTCTGCACCCCACTGTGAAGGTGGAGCTGCCACATCTCTGCCAGCCGTGAGGTCCTTGCAGGGAAGGAGCCCCTCAGAGCCACCCCAAAAGGTTTCCCCCCACCCCAGGAATACCCAGCCCGTGCTGGCAGCCTGTGGATGTCACCCCAGCTGGACAGCCACACCTGGAGACCACCAACACCAAAAGACCCCTCTGGATGTGGGGTCACAGCAGAGACCTGACACACAAATGCCCCTGATGATCCCAAAGCATGAGCTCCCCCCTCATCCCCACCCAGGGAATCCACCAGCAGCTGGAGAAACACCGGATGCCCAAACCCCAAATGTGGGGTGTGGCAAGAAAGGCCACGGGGTTTTCCGACCCGTGTTCCCTCTGCTGGATTTGAGCCCCAAAAGCCCAAATTTTGGCGTGGTGGGGCCAAACCAGGCACCAGCAGCCCCATGCAGGGGACACTCACCCTGCAGCAGCAGCCCCAGGACATCCCCATCACTGTGACCCCACGGGGAGGCCTCCGAGCCCCTGAAACCTTCCTGTGCCTGTGGGGCAGCTGAGCTTTTGCAGAAGGAGGAAATGATGTTTCCTGCAAGTTTGCAGGTGGCCACAAAAGTTTTAACCCCATCCGGCCCTGTGCAGTGGGGGCTGAACCCTCCTCCCACAGCATTTTCTATCAAAACCTTTATTTTTTAATCTAGTTCAGAGCAAAATGCTGTAGGAAGAGAGGGGAGGGAGATCTCTGGGACCACCAGCTGTTGGTCCAAGAAATATCAGCATGAGGATCTTTCAGGAGACCTAAAATTAAGCTTTAAAGCCCCAAAATTCAGGCATCCTTGGGAATTCCCCCAGATTTCCAAAGAGAGGGTACAGCTGGCCCACCCTGGGATGCTGCTCCCACTCCCAGGGATGCTGTGGCTGCATCCAGGCACTGTGGCCTCTCTTGGCACATTCACAGGCAGCCAATTAAGCCAGCTCGTTAATGTGTAATTAGTGGCACGCAGAGGACAGCTTGACGAGCTAATAAAACCACAGCACCATCCCTGGGGTGGCTGCTCTTAGCCAGAGGGTGCTGCGGTGATTTTGGGGTGCTGTTGGCTCAGGGATGGTGGTGATGAGGCACAAACCTATCCACACAGCCACATTCTATGGGAAAAGTCCTCTCATCCCCTCCCAAGCCTCACATCTGCAAATTCCTCGGGTGTTTGTGAGGTTTGAGGTTATTTTCCAGCACCACTTGGCATCATCCTTACATCAGCCTTGCCCCCAGCCCTCCCTGCATCCTTGGGGCATTTGGAGCAGGGGCAAACCCCAAAGCATCCTGTAGGGTCTTGCAAACTTCTTGGGGGGTTTGGATGAGGTTTTCTCCCCCACACCAAGTGGAGGAATGGATTACTGCGTTCTCCACACCCGGAGATGCTCCACAGCTTCTCCTGCCACCGGGAAGGACAGGGCTGCCCATGAAACCAAAGAGGGATTTTGGCTTTAGCTCCTCCCTGAGCCAGGATGTTTCCAGCCCCAAATCCTTACACATAGCCCAGAGATCCCCACCGAAGTTCCTCCCATCCCACCTGGAGCCCTGCAGGATCCCAGAGCCACGAGGAGCCCCAAACACCACACCAGGATTCCCAGAGGGAGAGTGCTGGGTGAGAGGAGCCTGGGGTCCTGTTCTCTTGGGATGAGGGGGGTTAAACCATTCCCAACCCATTTCTGGGGTTTCTTTAACCCCATCCTGTGCAAGGGATGGGAATTTTGCATCTCTTGAAGGAGGCTATGTCTAACCCACATGCTGTCACCCCATTTCTGAGCAGTGCACAGCCCACAGCAGCTGCAGTCTGCAGGAGCCACATCCAGTTATTGCTTTCCCAGAAAATCCCTCTGCTGCTGGCCATGGTGGCAAGAGCAAAAAATCTCAGATTCTTTTCCTCCCCTCTAAGTGATTTTCTCACTGTTCTGGGAGCGCAGAAAAGCTTGAAAAATGATGTGGCTTTGTGCTCAGCAGCCACAAATCAAACAGAAACATTCCCCAATGAGTGTGCAGAAATATATCTATATATTTTAATTTTCCTCTTGGAAAGCCAGGATTTTTGCAACATGTAACTGGAAGAAGAGCTAAGAAGAAATTTAAAAGCCTCAGCTAAAAAAAAACCTGAACTCTGCTCTGCCCCAGCCCCTCTCTCCTGCCCTACAAAGCCCAGCCAGGGCTGTCCCAAATTGTGGCTGAGGGGCTCAGCTGAGGGAGGGATGCTCCCAGCAGTGCTGGGTGCTCTGTCTGCCCCCTCAAAGCCCATCCCTGTGCCACCCCCTGCCCCTCGGCAAAGCCGGAGGTGAGGCTGAGCCCGCCCAGCAGCCAGCAGGGCCAGCACGAAGCCATGGTGGCTCCTGGCTTTATCACTGGTGACAGCAGAGCAGACAGGAGCATCCTCCGCCCCAGGGCTCGCTCGGTGACAGGGAAGGGGGGGACAGGGCTGCTGTCACTCTGCCTTCACTGCCTTGTCAAGCCCGGGCGGAGCAGGGGGATGGAGGGGCTCTAAACCCCACACCTCCATCCCCACATTGCCCCGAGTCCCAAAATCATGGGTTAAAGCCCCTCCTGCACCTCCGTGTCCGTCTGGGATGCAGGGAGGGGCTCCAGCCCGTCCCAGGCAAGGGATGGATGTTTATGGATGTTTTGCATCTCTTTCAGGGAGGTTTGAAGGAGGCCAGAACGGCCTCGGGCTGAAACTTGGCAAGGGATGCCTGCGCTCCAGGAGGGAGAAATTCCTGGTGTATAAACCCTTTTTTAAAGCCCACAGAGCCCCGTTTTTATAGGCATGAAAGAGGGCAGAGAAGCGGAAACGCTGCGTTCTTAGTTTGCATTATTTCCTACTAGAACAAGGGAAGGGACCATCACAGCGAGGAAGAGCCTGACAAATCTCCCTGGTCCCCTGAAAGCACACGCCTGTCACCATCACCACAAAGCTCGCGTGTCACCCCAATTCCAGCAGCTGGAGAGGCCATGTCCGTCCCCCCCCAGCCCCCCTTACTGGCACACCCCCACGGAGAGGCACCAAAACCCCGTGGAAATGTCATTTTCCCATCACAAAGCCCCACGGCGGGACAGCGCCTCTTTCCTCCCTCCTCCCCGGCACTCCTGTCCTCGCTGGGGACACAATGCCCTGAAGGACATCCTTAATCCCCGTCTGGACAGCGCTGTCCCCGCGTCCCAGCCGGTGCCACCGAGATCCCTTCTTAGCACAGGGCAGCGACGGGGACACGGCGGGGGACACTGTGCTGGGATGAAGCAGCCACATCTTCTCTGTGCCACGGCCTCAACCTCCCGCAGCAAAGAATTCCCCCCCAGTATCCCATCCCACCCTGCTCTTTGTCAGTTTGAAGCCATTCCCTGTGTCCTATCCCTCCATCCCTTGTCCAAACTCCCCTCCTGCTCTCCTGGAAGAGCTGGAAGCGGCTCTGAGCTCTGCCTGGAGTTTTTTCATGCCCATCTCTCCCGGCCCGTCCGGACAGCGCTCCCCGCCTGCCCTTGAACTTTAAGAAGCGATTTAAGCCGTGCCCGGAAGGCACCGAAAGGCCGTGGCACCGCCGGCTGCCATGAGCACGGCCGCCCTTTAAATGCAAACACGGAACTGAAGCTGCTCGCTGCCCCGGAGACTCCCTCGGAGCAGCCGCTGGCAGCTCCCGGGCCCGGCCGAGCCTCCGAGCCGCCTCCGCAGCCCCTGACGGAACCCTCCCGCAATCCTCCGGCCCCGGCGGGGAGGAGGCACCGCCAGAAGAAAACTTCTGACAAGTTTCCTCGGAGCCACGAAGGCGTGGGGAGGACACGCCTCGGCCAGGAGCGGTGTGTCCCGCATCCTCCCGAGGTGTCCCATGGCCTCGGCCGCAGGGACCCGCCGGGACTGGGGGTGTCCCCGCTCCGCCCAGGGAGCCCAGGCAGCTCCCGGCCGGGCTCACCGGGAGCTCTGGATGCGGCCCCGGGATGGGCCCCGCGGGCTGCGCCTCCAGCTGTGCCTCCAGCGGCGCCCCGGGGGCCCTGTCCTTCCTTCCCTCCAGCTGTGCAGGGGCTGGCAGGGAGCAGCCGAGCCGTTCCCGGCCCCCGGCACAGCTGGGGCACAGCTGGGGCACATCTGGCCCGAGGGCACCGCTGGACAGGCGCCCTCAGCCCCGCGAGCGCTGCCCACCTGTAGGAAGGGCCCGGCCGGCGCTGCGAGCTCCGGTCCTGATCCCGATCCCGGTTCCGATCCCCGTTCCGATCCCAGTCCCGGCTCCGATCCCGATCCCAGTCCGGCTCCGATCCCGGTTCCGATCCCGGTCCCGGTCCCGATCCTCCCCGGCCCCGCCGGACAAAAGCGCGGCCCGCGGCGCTAAGGGGCGTGGCCTCCGTCATTAGCATACCGCTGCACTCCGCCAATCCGCGCGCGGAGCGGGAAGTCGTCAGCATAACCCCGCCTATCTTTCATTTGCATATCCGGCGGCTGGCGGCCAATCAGAGCCGCGGCTGGGGGAACATCATTGGCATAATTTATGCAGCGCGGGCACCCCCTGGCGGGGCGCTGCCCATTCCCGGGATGCCATGGGATGGGATCCATGGGATCCATGGGATGGGATCCATGGGATGGGATCCATGGGATGGGATCCATGGGATCTATGGGATCCATGGGATGGGATCCATGGGATCCATGGGATCTATGGGATCCATGGGATGGGATCCATGGGATGGGATCCATGGGATCCATGGGATCTATGGGATGGGATCGATGGGATGGGATCAATGGGATCCACGGGATGGGATCCATAGGATCTATGGGATGGGATCCATGGGATTGATGGGATGGGATGGGATACATGGGATGGGATCCATGGGATTGATGGGATGGGATGGGATACATGGGATGGGATCCATGGGATCTATGGGATGGGATCCATGGGTTCTATGGGATGGGATCCATGGGATTGATGGGATGGGATGGGATCCATGGGATCCATGGGATGGGATCCATGGGACGGGATCCATGGGATCCATGGGACGGGATCCATGGGATCTATGGGATGGGATCCATGGGATGGGATGGGATCCATGGGATCTATGGGATGGGATCCATGGGATCTATGGGATGGGATGGGAGGGGATGGGATGGGATCCATGGAATCCATAGGATGGGATGGGCTGGGAGGGGATCCATGGGATGGAATCCATAGGATGGGATGGGATGGGATCCATGAGATCCATGGGATGGGATGGAATCCAGGGGATGGGATGGGATCCATGGGATGGGATGGAATCCATAGGATGGGATGGGATGGGATGGGATCCATGGGATGGGATGGGATCCATGGGATGGCCAATCCCAGAGATCCTTGGCAAGGATTGAGATGAAAATGGGGAAGGGATGGGGTAGGAATGAGGAGTGACTGAGGTGGGAAAGAATGAGGTGGGATGGACTGAAACGGGGATAGGTCTGGGCATGGGATAGGATGGGAATAAGGACTGGATGGGTCAAGGATGGGATGGGATGGGGCTGACATACAGCATCCCCTCACCACCACTGCACTCCCACCCACCCTGCTACCCTGGGAAGCTCCCAGGATACCAGGGAAAATATCCTGGCAGCCCTACCCCTTCCTACCCCCTCATCCCAGCCCACAGCACCCCCCAAGCACAGCCTTTTTTCTACCCTGATAGATTTATTGAAAAATTAAAAGCACAAGCTCTGTATATATAAATACGACAACATTGCCAGCAATTTACAAGGCCTCCGGTCGCTCTCTCTGCATCCCCCCGTGGCTGGTACCACGCCCCTGGGCACCTTGGGGACCACCCAAAGGAGCAGCAACCCCCTGAAACTCCCTCCAGCCCGAGCCACGGGCCCACCTCGCTCTGTGTGTGGCACTCAAATGACAGCGGGGACACCCAGACCGTGCCGCCCTGGCAGAGGGGGAGAGGATATTCCCACCCCGGAGAGGACAGGGATGGAATCTGGAAGGGATGTGCCCGTTCTCAGCCTGCCCTAGCCAGGCAGGGAGGCTGCAGGGGACATTTGGGGACAAGCTGGGGGTGTCTGTGCGTGCGGGGCGGCGCGGGCTGTGCGCTGGGACGCTGCTGTCCCACCTGGGGCCATCCCTCATCCCCATCCCCGGCGCTGCCTGAACCCGCTCCTAAAGGGCCACGTTGAATTCTGTGACCAGGAAATCGATGTAGTCCTTGTCCTTCAGCTTGAAGGCCTCGGCGATGATGCGGGCGGCTTCCCGGTGCTCCTTGCCCCGCAGCCCTGTGCCGTTCACCTCCAAAATGACGTGTCCCACCTTCAGCTTCCCGCAGTTGTGCGCTGAGCCCCCCCGCTGCAGGAGAGAGAGGGGTCAGCTCGCCTTCCCCTCATGTTCCCACCACATCAAGCAGGAAGGAAAAAACCGGGATATATTTCATATCTGACGTGATGGATGTGAAATAGTTCACTTTTTGGAGAGAGGGGATGAATTTGGCTTCCCCCCTGCTTGCTCCTGGAGCGTGACGCCAGCTGGGATGGCCAAGAATAACCAAGGCAGAGCCGGCTCTGCTTTTTTTTTTTCTGTAAATAGTTTGAATTTTGCCCCAAGTAAACAGCAAACAGGGAGACAGCTCCAGAGGGCTCAGTCCCCTGGCTGCCATCCACCGCTCCCCCTCCTCAATCCTCTGTCTGGCAGTTTGCAGACATCTGGAGCCCGCAGCCAAGCTTCCAGGGCTGCCCTGATCCCCTGGGAGATGTCTGGAGCGCACAGCTGGCTCAGATGGGATCATCCACGGGACACAGACGCCGTGGAACGGTGCCTGGGGAGGTGCAGGCCCCCAAAATCCCCCTGGCCACAGCTGCAGGGCTTTCCCCAGCGTGGCCAGGGAGGAGAGGGCAGGGAGGTGCCCGGAGCTGCCCCATGCCAGCCCGCCCTACCTGGATGGTGACGATGCGGGGCAGCGGCTGCCGCGTGTTCGCGCCGCCCTCGATGGCGATGCCCAAGGTGGGAGCGCTCTTGGACACCCGGATCAGACACGACGTGGGCTCCAGGAGCCCAGGCTGTGGGGACAGATGGCAGCACTGCCAAAGGGGCCTGGACACCGTGTGCCAGCTGTGCTCCCTTGGCCAGGGCCCCACAGCAGGCAGGGACACTGACTGCCACCACAGAGGGACACACACAGCCCTGCTGCTGCTTTCTGACTCCTGACAGATCTAAAATCCCAACTCTGGGCAGGTCTGGAAGGGTTTGGGAAGGAGCAGAGCAGCTCTCTGCCTGCCTGCTTGTGTCCCTCAGCCTCACCACCACCAGAAACCCTCTGAGTTATGTCTGACACCCACTGCCACCTTCCCTTTGGGTGACTTCACTCATGCGGCTTGTGGATGTCCCTTTAGAGCCAGGAATTCTCCCATGCCCCAGGTAGCTGCTGGCTGGACCTGGAGGGATGGGATTTACCCAGGACAGAGTGAATCAGCCCTACAATGCCGCTCTCAGCCACTCCTGACCCCTCTCCCCACAGCTCAGCCCCCCAGAGAACTGATGGGTCTCAGCAGAGAGCAGAAACAGCCCAGCTGAGCACGGACAGCGGTCACTGCCCGTGGGCAGAGGGAGGGGAACGGGCTGGCCAAGGCAGTGGGGCACAGAGCAGCACCCCAGGGCCCCCTCACCGGCTTGGAGGCCCCTTCTGCCGCCCCCTCGCTCCTCGTGGCCTCCTTGGGGCTCCGGCTTTTCCCGGGGCCTGGCTGCCGGCTCTTGTCCTTGCCGCTGGTCTCGGCCTCCCCGATGTCCACCCCGCTGTCCTCGCTGAGGGTCTGCCCGCTGTCCGACAGCTGGGAGAGCGTGGAGGCTGGGGAGAGACGTGGTGTTAGCAGCCATGGAACTGCTCAGGTGGGAAAAGGCCTCGCAGAGCATCCAATCCAACCACAAGACCAGCGCTGTCAAGGTCACTTCAAAGCCATGTCCCCAAGTGCCACATCTACACGGCTTTTAGATTCTTTGTGGGACAGGATCCCCACCGCTGCCCTGGGCAGCCTCTCCCAATGCCTGACCACTCTTTCAGTGAAGAGATTTTCCCAGTATCCATCGTGAATCTGCCCTGGCACAGCCTGAGGCCATCTCCTCTTATCCTGACCCTGTTTCCCGGGAGAAGGGATTGACCCCAACCTCACTGCACCCCACTGTCAGAAGAGCAGAGCTGTGCACAGGCAGCATCCAGAGACAAATGGCCTCAAACTCTGGTCTGGAATCGAGCCCAGATCCCAAACTGGGATGGAGGGAGAGAGTGATGGAGGCCAGTTTATGCAGCCCACACTCCCCAGCAAGGGCTGGGAGGAGACAGGGACCAAGCCAAGTGAAGAGGTGCTGCCATGCAGGAGCTTTCTGCCCTTTGAGGATGAAGAACAAGCGCAGATGGAGGCTGGAATTGTGAGGAGCAGAGGCGGCGCTGCATTTAATGCACCCAGGGCGCTGCATTTAATGCACAGCATCAACCTGCGGGCAACGGGCTGGCTGCAGTGAGGGCGCTGTGCCACACGAGTGCGACATTGCCACTCGTGTCACTGCCCCGCGCGGAGCCCGGGACTGCCCGGGATCCCCTTCCCTGCCCGGGAACCCCCGGGATCCCCTTCCCTCTCCAGGACCCCCCCGGATCCCCCTTCCCTCTCGAGGGACACCCCTGGATCCCCCTTCCCTCTCCAGGACCCCCCCTGGATCCCCCTTCCCTCTCCATGTCCAAGACACCCCCTTTTAATCCCTCTTTTCTCTCCATCTCCAAGGGATCCTGAGATTCCTCTGGGGCCCCTCTTCCCTCTCCATGTCCAAGATTCCCGTGGATCCTCCTCCCCTCTCCACCTCTGAAAGCTCCCGGGACCCCCTGGGACCCCTCCTCCCTCTCCATCTCCAAGGGACCCATGGGCCCCACACACTGCTCCCTCACCTCCACTTCTTTTTCCTGGGATAAATGGGACTCCCTAGCTAAATGTGGGCATAATTAGATTTTTTTTCCCTCCCAAAATGCACAGTTAATGGGAAAAGGCCAGAATTATTTCTGGTCCTTGAGGTCACAGAATGGCCTGGGTTGGAAAGGACCTTGAAGCCCATCCAGTGCCACCCCTGCCATGGCAGGGACACCTTCCACTAGACTGAGCCAAATCCAACCCAGCCTTGGGCACTGCCAGGGATCCAGGGTGGGCAGCCTGTGCCAGGGCTGCCCACCCTCACAGGGAACAATTCCCAATTCCCAATCTCCCATCCATCCCTGCCCTCTGGCACTGGGAGCCATTCCCTGTGCCCTGTCCCTCCATCCCTTGTCCCCAGTCCCTCTCCAGCTCTCCTGGAGCCCCTTCAGGCCCTGGAAGGGCTCTGAGCTCTGCCTGGAGCTTCTCCTCTCCAGCTGAGCACCCTCAGCTCTCCCACTCTCCATAGGAGAGATGCTCCAACCTTTGGCTGGAGAGATCCATCATGAGACCCGAAACCCCGAGATCTGTGTCCTGTCCCGTTTTTCTCCTCCCAGCACCCCAGGGACGCTTTTCTCCAGCTGCTGAGGTGACACCCACCTCTGGCCTGGGGCAGGGGCCTCACTTCGTTGACGTCGGGCTCGCTGTTGGGCTGGTGCACCTCCACCATGATGAAATGCTGGTTGGCCTGGGGGCTGCCCTTGTCCGGGGGAGGGGGCGCGGGGTGCGCGGGCGGAGGGGGTGGGGATGGGGACGGGGGGCTCTGAGGCCCCTCTGGGGATGGGCTCTTCAGCCTGGTGGGCGACTGCACCCTGGGGAAGGGCCCGATGGGGTGCTGGCCCAGCAGGGAGAGCGCGGTGTCGGCCGGCCGGCGGGAGCTGCGCCCCGACGGGGAGATGGTGGCGTAGATGGCGCCGGGGGCTGAGTCCTCGGTGGACGTGGAGGTGACGCTGAGCGTGTCCTTCTCTGGAGGGTTGGGAGGGGGAGAGGGGTTTCGGGGGGCCACGAAGAAAAGGCCAGACTGGGAGGAGTCGGAGGAGGGGCGCTTGGGCTTGTCCTTCCCCGGCAGCCGGTGCTGGGCAGAGGAGGGGTCCAGGGTCTGGGGGGCTGATGGAGGAGGAGGGGGCTTGAAGTTGGGTGGTTCTTCTGGGAAGGAGGAGAGATCATCCTGCCAAAGCAAGCACAGTTTGTAGGAGACCATGGCCAGGTTCAGTGCATCCTCATCTCACAGTGACCATGGCTAAAGGAGCTGTGTCCCAGGTTATAATATTGGGGTGTATTCCATTTCCACCTCGAGCTGCAATTCCTTGTTTTTTCCTTATCTCGTGACTCAGAGATAAGCCCCTCCAGGAGGAGCTGTTCTTTTAGGCACAGGACTGAGAAGATCCCAGCATTCTATTGTGAGATGCTCTGCCCAGAGGGAGGAGCCAAACGATGCCATCAAGGATATCAGACAGCAAATAAATCTCCTCTTCCAAGGGGAACAGCTGAGACCTTCTCTGCACTGGACCTCCAGAGGGAAACTCCATCAGTCTGCAGGAGCACGGCTTGGACAGAGCCACATCTGCTACCACCTCCCCAGTGTCAGGTTGTATCCCAAACTCTGTCAGTGGTTCTTCTTCTGTGCTATTGTATGTATTTGGTTCTTTGTTCCCTTTTCCTAATAAATTGTACTTCTGACTTAGAGCCTCTCACTGGTTTTGCTTTTCAAACCAAGACTAGCTGGTTGTTACAGAAACACCTTCCTGACCTGACAGTGCCACACAAACACCTTCCTGACCTTCTGGCAGCGAGGATACACTCACAAATGAGCACAGCTGCAGAGCACCGATAGGCCAAGAAACACTTATAATGTAATTAATAAATAGCTGGCTTCTGATTGTGATGGTGTGAATTATAACATCTGCATTGTGACACCTTTCACATGAGACTGAAAATGGAATAAAAGTTTTTAAAATGCCTCTCAGTTGCCCCACATCTGGGCCAGAAAAGGGCTTAATCCAACACAGAACAACCCACCCAAGCTTTGCTCTGCTTTGCACAAGGCTGCTGCTCTCCAGCCAGCCAGAATAATCCTTCTCCTGAAGCCACCAGCAGAGCTGTGGTCAGTGACTGCCCTGGGAACAACCATATCCCAGCACCCCCAGTTTGCCTCCTGCTCCCCCCGGCTGGTGCCTTACCAGGGACACATCTGGCAGGGTGTTGATGCTGCTCTGGTGGCAGTCCCCAGCTCCCTCCAGCTCTGGCGTGTTCTGGGAGGGCACAGAAGGAAGAGAGAACCATGGCACAGCAGCAGGAGCAGCCAGTACAGTGCCAGGGGATGGGCAGAGGGGTGCCCCAGACCCTCCCCATGCAGGGCCAGCCTGACCCAGAGGTTTTTGCCTCCTTGGGGATGCCTTTGCTGGGAGACAGGCTCTCCCAAGCTAAGGAATGTGCTCAGAGCATGGAGCTGACACACTGGGGTGAGCTCCTCTAGGCCCAAATCAGCTGCTCCTGCTGAATTTGGAAGGAGGGAAGGAGCCAGCCCTGAGGGCTGCAGGTTCAATACAGAAATTTAAAACCCTCCTCCCCCACAACCCAGAGCAGCAGGTCTCAGATGCAAGGAGATGCTGCCACTGCTTTATGAGTCCAAAACCATCACCAGGAAATGCCACAGCACAGTTTTGAGGACATCACAGCTCAGGAATCCAGAAGGGATTTGCTGTGGGAATCTGTCCCTGGGGTGCAGCCAAGCAGAGCAAACCTGGCCAAGGCAGGAGTGGGGCACGGCGGCACTGGGGGTGCAGCTCTGCCCTGGGGAGCTGTGCCCAGCCCTGCTGAGGGAATCCTCTGCCAGGGGGGACCGTGCCCAGCCTCCCTGCGGGCAAACCCAGCCTCAGCCTCCTCTCCCTGTGGCTGCTGCTGCTCAGGGAGGCTGAGCTCGGCTCCTGTCAGGCTGGCAGGGCTGTTGGGATGGGGCAGGGCACGGTTTGTGTTTAAGTGCCTGCTATTTATTGCAGGGTAAACAGCTGATTAGCTGAAACGCTGCTGCATCTGCGTGTCCCCCAGCTGCTGGAGGCTGCTGCTGTGCCTGGGAGATGTTCAAATCCCAAAATAGACACGGGAGACAATTAAGACCATTAGAGATGCAGCAAAAACATTGATGTAAAGTGCTTTTATCCCTGTGGCTTCTGAAGGAGCTCTGGAGAATGAGAACACAAAGAAACAGCTTGTTTAGGGAGTGACAGGTAAAGGGCTGGCTTGGGAAACCTTCCTGTGGTTTCATCCTCCATTATTCCAACATAAGGGCAGGGGGCTTTTCAAAGAGAATCACAGAAGAATTTGGGTTGGAAAGGACTTTAAAACCCACCCAGTGCCACCCCTGCCATGGCAGGGACACCTCCCACTGTCCCAGGCTGCTGCCAGCCCCATCCAGCCTGCCAGGGATCCTGTGCAGCCCCAGCTGCTCTGGGGAGTGACTGGCAGCAGCCAGACTGTCACAGCTGTGTCACTCCTGAAATGGGAATTGTCTGCCTGATGCCCCCCCCAAACCTGCCAGGGCCATTTTCCCCAGCCCTGTGCCCTTCACAGGCCATGTCCCAGCCCTGGTCTCGCTGCAAGGATGGGTCTGCCCTGAGCTGTGGCTCTCTGCAGACGCTGGGGGGGCACAGCAGCTGTCCCTGTGCCCCCCAGTGCCACTCCAGCTCTGTCCCCCCAGCCAGGGGAGGGACACTGATGCTGCTGCTCCTCCTCAGGCACCTCTGGCTGCAGGAGATTTGCTTTTCCTCAGGCTCACTTCTTCAGGGAGCAAAGGCAATTAAACAGCGATTGCTCTGGGCCATAAAACAGGATGACTTTTAAGCACATTTGCTTTCAGGAATTGGCTATTTCCAGGCTGTGCCTTCCTGGATTTCCCTTGAAAGACTCACAGAAGCCACTGCCCTGAAAAATGAGTATTGTGAAGGCTGATCCCTCCTGCTCCTCTACCCAAACCTATTTTCTGGTTTCTCATGGTAAGTGGGGCCAGGTGAGGCCCTTCCAGCCCCTCCTCAGAGCAGCTGGGAAATGTTTGTCCTTCTTATCCGAAACAGAGTCCCCAGCAGGAGTGATGGAGCTGCAGAGCATCCTTCAGCCACAAAGACAGTTTTCATTTGCAGATTAAAGGGTGGAGAAACTGCCACCTCCCTGGGGAACAGAGCCCAACCTTTAATTAACCTCTCAGCTCCAAATCAGTCCCCTAATTTCCAGTCACTGCTAACGAGAGCTTCACTGAGCTACTCATGTCAGTTTTGAACAACTGCCCCAGCCTGGAATAAGCCTGGCTTCCCTCCTCTCTTCCCTTCCATTGCCCACTCTGGAATGCAGCCACAGGGATGGAGGAGCCACAGGGATGGAGGAGCACAGGGATGGAGGAGCCACAGGGATGGAGGAGCCACAGGTCTCTCCTCCAGATTTGAGGGGCTCTAAGCACGCAGAATGACTTCCACACAGTGGTTTCACTCTGTGCTTACCCTCAGCCTCCGAGAGGAGCATTTCCAGCACGTGGGAATGCTCCATGTGGGATATCCCAGGGAGCTGGAGCAAGGCAGCACCTCTGGAACCAGCCCTGGGAGGAGAAGGCACCTCTGGATGGCAGCAGCTTTGCAAGGAGGTGGTGGAGAGGAGAACCCACAGGGATATCCATTCCTTCACCCCAGCACTGAGGGCTGGGCAGGAGGTAGGGACAAAGGGAATGGCAGAACAAGCAGGAGTCCCCACTGCTCTGGTCAGAGGGGCTGCACCTGATCATTGCCATCTGCAGCTGATCTCTGCCCTGCAGGACTCAGCCCCAGTCCCAGGGTTTCCAGGAGGTGCTGGTGACACTCAGACAGTGCCTGAGCACCATCAAACATGGGCTCATTGCCAAGCATCCTTCAAGCATTCCTCCATGGAATTACAGCCCCACCCTGCTGGTTTTTGGTGAAATTCCCTCACCAAGCCATGGGACAGGCCTGCTCTGGTGTCACTGTGTCCCACGGGCTGGGACAAATTCCAGCTGGGAAAGCCACAGCATCCTCTGCTGGGTAAGAGCCATTCCCCAGGGATGCAGCCCCGGGTGGGTTCACAGCTGCAGGTCCCATCCTTTGCTCTCTGGGCTCTCCTGACGCTGGGATTTCCTCCAGGACAGCAGCAGGGAATGAGCTCCACACCCTGGAGCTGCAGCTTCCCTCAGCCTGCCCCAGCCAGGGGCTCTGGGATGTCACAGGAGCTGTCCCACACCCCTGCCCAGCCCCTCCACAGCCTGGGTGAGCATTTCTCACACACCATCCACCTGCACTGACCCACCCAAGGCCCACGAGGAAAATTCTCCCCCATGCTGAGGATGTGAGCAGCCTGTGAGAGGGCTGGGGCTGCTCAGCCTGGGCAAGAGGAGGCTCTGCAAAGACCTTGTTGTGCCATGTCACTGCTTGGAGAGGGCTGAGAGAAAGGTGGGGACACATTTTTTAACAGATCTTGTTGTGATAACACGGAGGGGAATGATTTTAAACAAAGAGAGGGTCAGTTTAGATCAGATAGAAGGAAGATGTATTTTATAGCAAGGGTAGGGAGGCCCTGGCTCAGGGTGTCCAGAGAAGCTGTGGCTTCCCCTGGATGCCTGGAAACATCCAAGGCCAGCTTGGACAGGGCTCTGAGCACCTTGGTGTAGCTGAAGATGTCTCTGCTCACTGCAGGGCAGTTGAATTAGATGGGCTTTAAAAGTCCCTTCAACCCAAACCATTCCAAGATTTTCTACTGGTGTTTAGGCAGGGTGCCCACACCCCCACAGCCCAGCAGCAGGCAGGGCAGGGAGGGCAGTGTGGGGTCTGCCAGGCTCCAGCTCTGCTGCTCCCTCCAAAACCCCATCCCTGAGGTGTCCCTGGCACTCAGCTCTGGTTGGGATGGTTTGAACTGAGCCTCTGTGCCCTGCAGCACCACGGCCTGGGGGAAGGAGCTGCTCTGTGCAGAGACAGCAGCAGAGATGGGTGAGAGGAGGAGGCCCTGCAGGAGCTGTGTCCCTCCCCTGCCCCAGGCCCTGCAGCCCCTACCTCCATCAGGTCGATGAGCCACAGCAGCCGCTCCTGGGGAAAGCAAGCACAAAAGTGAAAATGCACCCTCAGGGAGGGCAAAGCAGAGAGCTGAGCAAACCCCCTCCCCAAACCCAGCCCCAGAACCCACATCCCCTGCAGCCAGGGAGGGGTGGGAGGGCTGCAGGGAGCCCCTCCTGCCAGGGGTGCTGGGGAGGGCACAGAAGCAGGGCCTGAGGGGACAGTTTGGGAGCGCTGCCCACATCTCTGTCCTGCCACCCAAGCACCCATCCACCATGAGCTGGTGCTCTCTGCTTGGCAGCTGCTCCAGCAAGAGGGCACAACCACCTCCAGAGGCAACATTCCCATCATCCTGGATGGGCTCATCTCCATTCCCAGAGCAGGGCGTGCTCTCCCACCCCTGGGGACAGGTGCCACATGGCCAGGGAGGCCCTGCAGTGGCACAAGATGTGGGAATCCAGGGCTTCCCTCTGGCTGCCCTGGCAGGTCTGGGACCCTGGCAGGGGTCAGGAACCCCCCTGGACAGAGCCCCCAGAGACACTGGCTGTGATCTCTGCCCATGGAAAAGAGTTTTCAATCTTACAGGATGAATTACAAGCTCTGAGTGTTTGATATCAGTAATAATTAAGTGTAGCATGGGTGCAAAAGTAAAATTTTAGGATTCTAGATTAGGGGTCCAAAGGGGACAAGATGGAGGAAATTGGGTGTGTCTTGTCCTTTTTCTCCTTCTTCATGCCCTCCATGTTTCACTGTGGTGTTGGCATTTTTCTGTTGGTTCAGGCTGGGGACACACTGTTCAACGTAGGTGACAGATATTGGCACGTTATTGTAAATCCAGCACAGGTAGTTTGTGGTATTTAATGTTTGTACCATCCCACTGAGGGCAGAGCCCCACACGCTGCCCTGCAGGACAGAGCTGCGGCAGGGCAGCAGAACATGTTAGAGATAAACAGAATAAACAACCTTGAAACCAGCACAGACGAATTATGGCTTCTGCTTTGGCAGCGGGGCTGACAGACAGAGACTTTCTACAATCTCGGAATCATCAACACCACAGATTCAGACACAAGGGACATGTGCTCTTGAAGGAAGCTTTAAAAGCAGTGGTGCCCACTCTGTGCCACAGCAGCAGCCTGGTGTCCCTCTCTCAGCCCCACCACTGCTCACACCCTGGCCCGGGCAGCCACGCTTGGCACGTGTTGTGGAGCACGAGGCACACCTGGAGCATGAGGCACAGCCCCAGGCATGGGCACAGCACGACAGCAGGGTGTCACACTCACCACAAAACACTGGCAGACCTGTGCCAACCCTCATAAAAATTTTCCCAGCAGCTCCTTGGAGAGCAGAGCAAAACTCACTTTGTTTATGCAGATCCAGAAAGGATCTCACTGAAATCCCTCCCAGCCTGAGCAGGTGGCTTTCCTGTGGGCACTTCTGCATTTAACAGGACAACAGCACAGCTCTGATGCTCTGATGCTCTCTGAGGTCTCTCACAGACAGGCAGAGCCCCAGGACAGCCCCCTCCCCTCTCCCCCACGGGCTGTGCTGGGTGGACCCTCCACAGCCCCATCCCAGCAGCGTGGGCTGCTCTCCTCGCTGAGCACAGAGCCCATTGTTCCTCCTTCTTTCCATGAAGGGTTTAATTTCCAGGGTTACTAATGCATTTATGATGAAAGGCATTTTATGGCGAGGAAATGAATTTGGGGGCTGTGTGCCTGCACAGTCTGAGGTGATTACAGTAACTTAATTAGACGGTGCGTGCGACAGGGGCCTGGCAGAGACGTGGGAGTGCTGCTGCTGCGTGCTGGGAGTGGGTGGGATTGGGATGCAGCTGCCTGGCCACTGTGGCTCCCACTGGGATGGGGAGAGGGCAGCCAGCATCCTTAGGGGCTGATTTAAGAGCTGGTGAACAGCAGCAGGCACGGCACGGCAGCGGGCATCGCTGGGATTTCTGCAGGGATGCAGCTCCAGTGCATCTCTGGAAGCAAGGCAGGCTCTGTCCCTCACTGGGACGAAGGTGATGCCTCAGGTTTTGGCTTTTATATTTTCACATTCTGTGCTGCTTTAGTCTGTGGGTCTGGGCTCCATCTGAGGGGATGGTGAGCTCTGCACAGAGCAGGGAGACAAAACAATTCCTGCTCCAGCTGGGCACCAAGGACAAATGATCCAAATCTCAGCCCAGGAGCACAAACACCGTGGGCTGGAGAGAGAAAAACAAGCAGGATGGGACTGCCTGGGCTAAAGCTGGAATGGGACAATGAACTCCAAGGTGCCAATGGAGCAGAACTGATCCCAGGGAGAGCCCCCGGGAGCGCTCGTGCATTTTGGGACCAGTTTGGTTCATTTGGGTGCAGCCCTGGCTGGGCTCTGGTGCTGCCCAAGGTGGATCCATGGAGGCCTTTTAATCAATTCCTGCTTTATTCTTTAACTCATTTAGTCTCTGTTCTGGGGCAGCCCTCACAAGGCATCCAAGGGACACGCAGCACCCCAGTGTCAGGGGCACAGACACCCAGCACCTCATGGCATCACCCACAAACCACCCGCAGTGCCCAAAAAATGACAGCTCTGGGGAAGCTGTGGGGAAGCTGGGCAGGGCTGGCTGTGGGGTGAGATGGATTTCCAGCACTCCAGGGAAAGCAGTTTGCTGTAGGGTTGTCAGGAGGAGGTGCTGAAAGGAGGGAGATGGGGCAGGAGGGACCTACCCGGGCCGAGCTGACGGTGGTGGCAGTGAAGTGGCTGCTGGAGGACGAGACGGTGTCGCTGTAGGACATCATGGAGTAGGAGTCAGAGCTGGGCCCCGCGGGCTGCCGTGCCTTCATGGACTCGATCTCCCTCTTCAGCACCAGGTTGTCGAAGCGGTCGAGGTCTTGTGGGGAGATCACTCCCCGCACCTCGGAGAGCAGCGAGAACTGGCCAGGCACACAGAGCCAGAGCCGGGTTGGAGCACAGGCACATTCCCAGGAATCCGGGGGTCTCCCTCCCACCACCGTCAGCAGTGGCAATGGGACGTACTGGCAGGTGATGGAGGAATTTGGTCCTAAATGTTACCAGAGACTCCTCTGCCATTGAACACCAGCCTGCATCCCCCAGAATGGCCCTGGCACAGCTGCCCAGAGCAGCTGTGGCTGCCCCTGGATCCCTGGCAGTGTCCAAGGCCAGGCTGGACAGGGCTGGGAGCATCCTAGGGTAGTGAAAGGTGTCCCTGCCATGGCAGGAGTGGAACAAGGCGATTTTTAAGGTCCCTTCCAACCCAAACCAGGGTGGAATTCTGTGCTGGTTCCATGATAATGTGGATTTGGCTCCCATGCCCTCCCCCCTTCCCTGGGCAGATCACCATGGAGGCACCAGGCCACACGGTGACAGTGCCCACAGCGTGGCAGCGACTCTGCTCAGCCCACCAGCCCCAAGGAGCTGTCCCTGCCCTGCTCAGGGCCTCACCTTGGCGTGTGTGTTGAGCAGCTCAAAGAGGGCCATGACCAGAGCATCCACGGAGATGTTGCCCTCCTTGTACTCGTCCAGGTAGTAGCCCATGGTGGCCCGCTCCTGTTCGTTGAGCAGGTGCCGTGCCTGCTCCTCCAGCATCACCCGGCTCTGGTTCACCATGGTGCTCAGGGTCACCTGCGAGCCGGCCAGCCCCCGGTAGAACACGGGCTGCAGGGGACAGGGGACAGGCTTGGGGCACCGAGGGGGTGGCAGTGGGAAGGAGGGCAGAGCTCTGCTGAGCCAGCCTGGCTGTGCAGGCTGGACCAAGGAGTGCCCCTGCTCCGGGCTGTGCCACCAGCCCACAGTGTGCCTGTGTGCCACGCTGCCTGCGGGGGAGCTGGCAGCCAGACTGGAAGGAGGATTTTGGGAATGACAGGAGCAAAGTACCCCCAGGTACCCCCCATCAGTGTTTCAGTGCCACCACTTGTTGAGGTAACTCCAGAGCCAAGAGCAGAGGAGCTGAGCTTTGTTCTCTGGGACAGGGAACTGCTAAAGCTTAACCAGGGCAGGAGAGCAGGAAAGGTTCTTCCCGCAGAGGTGATGGCACTGCCCAGGCTGCCCAGGGAATGGGCACGGCCCCGAGGCTGCCAGAGCTCCAGGAGCCTTTGGGCAGCGCTGCCAGGGGTGCCCAGGGTGGGGCTGTTGGCAGGACCAGGAGCTGCACTGGATGATCCTTGGGGTCCCTTCCAGCTCAGGATATTCTGTGATACTCTGGTTCTCCGAGTTCATGCAGCACCAGTTGAGTTTCCCATCCCTTTTCAGCAAGTGGAGACCCTGTTCCCCACCAGGCAGTGATTTAATCCCAGGCTGTGCTCCTCCCTGGCAGAACTGGGGCCACAGGAGACAGGCCAGCTCCCCATCCTGTGGAAAAGGCAAATTTGCCCCCACTGCCAGCTTGAAGCAGACCCTAGTGAAGAAAGAGCCACTGGCAACCAAAGGAGCCCCAGGGAGAACAAGCCTGGCTGCAGATGAAAGACTTGTTCCCTTTGGGAGGGATTTCTGAGGGGAGGTCCTCAGTGTTTCCTCCCAGGCAGAGTTGGCACAGGGGTGTAGAACCAGACAAGACCCTGACTATTCCAGAGACAGGAGTTGAGGCTGGGGAACATGTTTTGCCAGCAAAGAGTACAAAGCTGTTATCAGCGAGAGCCACCTGTGAAACCTCCCTGCTTCATTTCCATTTAAAAGCAATGTGCTTCACAAGGAGAAGATGAGCTGCAGGCACGGCACAGGGCAAGTCCCTGTGCCTGGGGAGCTGGGGAGGGCTGGCTCAGCTCTGCCCCGGGCTGGGACAGATCCCTGCAGCTCTCAGGGCCCACAGACAGCCACCCTGAGGCCAGGCATGGTCACCTCTGTAGGGTGGAGGGGTCCCCACGGTCCTTGTCCATGGGTGGTCATTGCCCCTTGCCCATGAAGGCTGGAGGGCACCAGAGGTGCTTAGAAGTGGCACAGGAGAGGGGACACCACTGTGTCACTCTGTAGAACACAGCTGCCAACAGAGCATGGGGAGGAGAAAAGCCCATTAAAATCCCAAACGAGCATCCCTGCTGTGACCAGGAGCACGGGTCCCTCCCTCCCACGGAAAATGAACCACAACAGCAGTGATAGTTTCACAAGGAATGTCTTACCCTGGCTGCCACGTCCATTGCATGGTCACCCACTGCCCTGTGAGGAGGGAGAAGATCAGTTAGCACTGAGTGCCTGTCACTTGTCACCTGGCACAGCACCTGGCACCTTCTCCCCTCCCTGAAGAGCCAAAACCACTTTTCTTTATCTCTCCCACAGCCAATCCTCCCTCCAGGAGATCTCTGCTGTTCATGGCCACTGAGTGTCCCTGCATGGCTGAGAAAATTCCAGCATCCATGGGGAGAGGCTCTGCCCAGGGGAGGAGCCAAGCATTCCTACCTGGATACAATCTGACCTGGGAACAGCACAGCAGCCTTTGCCCCCTGCATTCCCAGAGGAGCAGCTTTCTTCCCACTGCATTCCCAGAGGAGCAGCTTCCTTCCCACTGCATTCCCAGAGGAGCAGCTTTCTTCCCACTGCATTCCCAGAGGAGCAGCTTTCTTCCCCCTGCATTCCCAGAGGAGCCCAGGCCCATCTCCCCCAGCCCTGGAGCTCCAGAGGAAAACTCCCCCCTTGTGCAGGATCCTGCTCCAGCAGAAGCACAGCTGGCACTGCAGGAGGGCTGAGCCACCCTGGGATGGGACTGCTGCCACCTCCCTGACCCACAGGGGACAGGGCCTGCTCTGACTCTGGCTGGGTTTGTTTTCTTTTTTGTCCTATTGCATTTGTATTTTTAATTTTCCTGTTAAAGAACTGTTATTCCTATTCCTACATCTTTACCTGAGAGCCCCTTAATTTCAAAATTACAATAATTCAGAGGAAGGGGGTTTACATTTTCCATTTCAGGGGAGGCTCCTGCTTTCCTTAGCAGACACCTGACTTTTCTAACCAAAACAACAACCCAGGCACGTACCCTGCTGAGCTGACCAGGGTCTCCCCGAGCTGGGAGCTGCTGATCCAGCGGGTTTCATCCACGGTGGTGCGGGCGTGGGGCAGGCGCCCGATGTCCTTCACCGTCATGATCAGGTGGCGCGAGGACTTGAGCAGCTTCACGGCCTCGTCGTGGGGGATGCTCAGGAAGCTCCGGCCGTTCACCTCCAGGATCTGGTCTCCCACCTGTGGAATCAGGGTGGACTGAGCCTGGCACGTCCATGGAGCTTTCCAGTTGGGAATAACACTTTCCTGTCCTGGCAGAGAGGTGCTGCTCACTCTAAACCAGCTCCAAAGTGGGACGCAGCAATTGGAGGGACCAGGGACAATGCTGTTGGATGGAGATCATCCCTCAAGCTGGCAGCCAGTGAGTATTGTAAATGCAGGCGAACCCAATGGGAGGAAATGACAATGTCTGACTCAATTCAGAAGGCAGAATTATTTTTTTATTATAACTATGCTATAATACATTAATATACTATATAAAAAGGAAGATACTAAAACCACATACTACTTTCTCTAATTATATCCCTAACTCCAACACAACTCGTGACCCTCTCTGAGAGTCCAGCCCCAGGTGGGTTGGATTGGCCATCAGGCTCAAACAATCCTCACCAGAATCCAACCAAGCAATCACCCCAGGTAAACAATTCTCCAAACACATTCCACATAGGAAGAACAAGGAGCAGAAATAGAAATTGTTTTCTCTTTCATTTCTCTCTGTGCACCTCTATAAAAAATCCTGAGAGGGAGAGAAATGTGCTTGCCACAAGTGAGGAGCAGTCTGGGAAGCCTGGAGGGGCCTGTTCAGGATCCCAGCTCAGACTGATCTGCCCAGACTCCTCCACCAACCAGACCAAGCCCAAAGAACATCAAAGCCTCCAGCCCAGTCCCTGCTGCTGCTCTGAGAGGCCAGGAGCCATCTGTGGTGGCCCCAACCTTCAGATCTCTGCAGGCAGCAGGGAGGGTCTCACCACAGCCTCCGGCACCCAGCAGCATCTGGGACAGCTGCATTCCAGCTCTCCTATTTCCTCCCCTAAGAGATTTCATTTTGTGGGCAAGGAATCTGGAGTTTCCTTGACAGCCTGGCCTTGTTTGAGACACAGCACCCATCTGGTGTTTCACCCTTCATCCCAAATCCTCTTCCTCTGTGCTCCCAGGGCATCCAGGGCTGCTCCTCCTCACTCCCATATCACAATTCACCTGTTCCTGATAAATCACATATTTGAAACTGCCCTTTCCTATCTTTGCTTAACCACAGCTCAGCTCTACCAAAGCACAGCGTGGATTTTCTTCTCTGCCTGGCCAGCAAGGAGACACAGGGAGAGAAAAGTTCCAGAGAAGTGAAACAAATGATCAGTGGCAGATGAAGGTGCCTGTGAGAGGACAGATGGAAGAGATTAGGCCTGTTAAATTTAGAGAGGAGATCATGTGGGGGGCTGGATGGAGCTGTACAAAATAATGCTGGCAATAATGAGAAGCCAGAGAAGGGCTCCTGTTTGCCCTTCCCTCTGCTCAAAGGACAGAGGAGGCTCAGGGAGGCTGGAAGGATGCTCAGAGTGGTGCTGAGGGGAAAAAGCAAGAACATCATGGAGTCATTTGGGTTGGACAATGCCTTTAGGATCATTGAATCCAGATCCATGTTCAGCTTCATCCAGGGACCCTGAGGGGATTTGCCTCATTCTTCACCATAAAGTTCAATAGTTTGTGTTGGAAGTGACCTAAAATATCCCAGAAGTACAAAGGGAGGAATCCCAGGGGAAGGCAAATGACACAAATGACCACATTTCCAACCATGGGGCTCCACAAATATCTCAGGTTTCCTTTGAGCTCTGTCAGCTTTAAATCCACTGTCAGAAAATTGCTGGCTATTCTTTGCTTCTTTTCTGACAGGGTCAGTATTAAATCAGGAGACATTTCTTGTTGGGACTCAGATATTTATGAGTTCTTATCTATGTTACAGTCTCACAGACCGTGAGTTCTGCAGTACTTCACTCCAGCAAACTAAAAATGGAGCCCCATCTCTCTCTATAAGGCCTTTTAAGGATAAACTGTCTAATTAAGAAATGAAACTTAAATTATTTTTACTTTTAACCCAGTAACAAACCACCCGTGCTCTGCAATGTGGATTTTTTCATCTAATTACACAAAACCAATGGAGAAGAAGGTGAAGAAGAAGGAGCAGCTTCTGCCCTAAAACCTCCATCTTGCTTTATATATCTATTACTATATTCTAAACCCTTAAACTCTGAGTTTTCCACCCTGTGATATCACACACTTCTATCCAAACTCCACACCCACAATCTCAGTTCTGTCATTCCATTCTGGAAGCTTCTCCACAGCCCCAGGTCAATGCAGTGTTCTCCTGGGGGTCAGTACCTGGCGGCACAGAAAGTCTGAAATTCTCAGTGACCAGGGTTCCAACAGCTACCAACGAAAAAGGGGAGGGGAATTATGCCAGGGCCTAAAGTGCCAGGAGAAACACCCGCTCAGGTGCACAAATATCATCTCCCAGGCCTTTCTGATCCATCAGGAGCCCCCTGGAGTGGATTTTGCTGCTCAAACAAGGAGCACAGAGGTCACTGCAGCACCAAAACAATAAAAATCCAAATTTGATTAGGCAGTTTTATTGCTGTTATGAAACTTCAATGGTTTTCCATACCAGGGATTGAATTTGCATGATTTTTTGGTTCAGGGCAGTTACACAGGTTTAATAATCTTTAATTTATCCTTTTAAGAGTGAACCAAGAGGAGCCTGGCACGCTCTTGTAACATCAGGGAGACCAGAGGGGCCCTGGATTTTTTGCTAATTAACATAGATAATAATTATATTTTTCCCCCCAATGTCAAGGACAAGTGGGAAAGTAACAAAAAAACCCTGCAGAGATGCAAAAGAACCATCTACTAAAACAAAATCTGACCCTGAGAAATTATTTGCTGTATTCACAGCTCCAAATTGGCACAGAATAAAAGAAAAAGACAAACACAGAAAAAAAGTTATAATAAAACACAGGAAAATTATTGCCCTGGATATTTCAGGAACTACTTTTCAGTTGTGCTCAGCTAATGGTGGGTGGATGCCCAGGATGTGCTGAATGCTTGAACACCTCTGAAAATGTGGATTACTCTCATTTCCTAGGGAAAATTGTAGCCTGAAATGCAGGGGCTGAACATGACACGCAACAGGTGACAGACCATGAGAAAAAAGAGTTTGGAAATTACGCCTCGATGACAGCCCTGGCTCCTTCTCCTTCTGGAGACAGTGGGGCAGGGGAGGTGCAGTCAAGAGAAACATAATGGGCTTCAGACAAGGGTCCTGAGCAGCAGAAATAACCAGAATTTTCTCTGAAAATTTCTCTTAAAAATAATCAGGATTTCCTCTGAAAAATTCTCTTAAAAAATAATCAGGATTTGCTCTGAAAAATTCTCTTAAAAAATAATCAGAATTTGGATCACACAGACAGAAAAAGAGGCAAGAGATTTTAAATGTGAGTTAAGGTTAAAAGACACCAAACCGAGCTGGGAATAACAGGGCCAAGGGGGTGATGCCAAATGGGTTGGCACTGGCACCAGTCCTGTTTGATGCCACTGAAGTGCCAGCAGAGAGGCTAAAGGACACTGGAGATACCACTAAAGTAGAGGGAGCCTCTCTCCAGAACAAATAATTACTAAATGCCCTTAAGAAATTAAAGATACGGGCAGGAAAATGTATGGATCAATTTGGAAGTGAGCAAATGAAGGCTCGCAGTAAATAAGGAAGTGCTCAGCTTCTCCAGGAGGGAAACAGCTCAGGGCAGATGAAGGATTTAAAAGCCATATGGATGTGGCACCTGGGGACATGGGGCAGTGGTGGCCTTGCAGTGATGGAGGAATGACTGGACAGGATAGTCTTGGAGATCTTCTTCAGCCTAAATTACTCTTTGTTCTGTGACAGCAAATGCTGAGGTAAAATCATTCAGCTCTTCCTATTTACAGTCTCCCTTTCCCTCTCCTCTCATATCTGGATAAATGTGGATCGTGATTTTCACCCCAGCCCTCGTTCTGGGAACTCAACATTGAGTTGTTTGCTCAAAGCAAGCTCCCTGGAATCCGCTATTTCTGATTTAAAGGTCAAGGAGAGAAAACAAAAATGGCTTAAGGAGGAAAAAGAACCCAAATCCTGACAAAATACAGCACCAGGAAAAATGAGCAAGGAAGAAATGAGGGCCAGCAGAGCCAGGAACAGCATCAGGAGCTCAGCTCGTGCTGGGCGCCGCTGGGGACCGCAGGAAGGAGGCAGGAAGGACAGAAGCTGAAAGCAAACAAGGCTGACTCACCTCCCCCCTCTGCTAACCCCCACTTTTTCACTCTCAGAACTTCCTCAGAGGCAGCAGATTTTCAAACATGCCCGAAGAGCACATTGTCAGAAGTTTCATGAATGAATAAACATCAAGGAGGCCAAGGCCAAGCCTATGAATATTTAGTTATTGACTGACTGCAGAGCTCCAGCCTGGCTTCTGCTGGAATTCTGCCTGCTGAGGGAGCAGAACAGCAGCACCTGAACCAGCACAGCAGGGCTGGAGCTCCTCTGGGATCCTCTTGGTCTCTGTTCCTGGAGCTGGCAAAAGTTTCTGGGCCTCAGAGAAACTTCCTTGGTTTTGCCTGGCTGTCAGTAGCATTTGTTTTTCCTTAAATCAAAATTAAGGGAAGTGTAAAACATTATTTATTGTAGTTATTATTTAAAGAGTCCAAAATTCTGATTTGGTGCCATAGATACAAGGAGGTAAAAATGAAATATCTGACAAAATTACAGATTGGTTTGGGTTTAAAGGGACTTGAAAGCCCATCCAGTGCCACCCCTGCCATGGCAGGGACACCTCTCACTGTCCCAGGCTGCTCCCAGCCCTGTCCAGCCTGGCCTTGGGCACTGCCAGGGATCCAGGGGCAGCCACAGCTGCTCTGGGCACCTGTGCCAGGGCTGCCCACCCTCCCAGGGAAGGATTTCTGCCTTGTCTCTCATCTAAACATCACCTCAGAATCAGGTCGACTCTGGTAACAAACTCAGTGAAAGCAGCAAACCCCACAGAAGGATCCACTCTGGGAAGCCACAGGAACCTTCCCACCAACCCAGCCAGGATTTTGTTGAGCCCACATTGAGCAATCCAACAATATTTCCATTTTAGAGAGCAACAAACTACCTGGAAACCACAGTTATCCACCAGTTCTTGCTTCCTTGTGGCATCACATCCCTTCCACCACCACCCGGATCAGCAATCTACACCCGACCATGTCTAACAGCAGGACATAAAAGACCTTTTCTACCTCCAAACCTCCAGGCAGCACTGAATTTACAGCCTGTGGCATACACAAATCAGGGTGGGAAGTGCCTGTGAGGATCTGAAATCACAGCAAGCCTGACTTTCAGCACAGCAGGAGCCTGCTGGACACACAGATCACTGCCTGGAGAGCAGAGCAGTGACAGGGGAGACCTCCAGAATCAACAAGGAGAGGCTCAGGTGTGCAAAGAGCAGTGGCAGGACCTGGGGGGACAGGGCAGGGAGCTGGCACTGCTCTGGGTTGTTTGGGGGTTATTTCCTGGCATTCCAAGCAGGCATGGAGGGATTCAGCCAGGTGTCCTCCTGCTGGGACTGTCCCTGTGACATCTCTGCTGAGCTCACTGCCAGGGGGATGCAAAAACAGAAAAGCAGAGATTTTCCCTGCGCAAAACCAGAAAAAAACACCAAGGAAAACAATGCAGCTTCTTCTTTCTCATCCTGTATTTAAACTTTCAGGCTTCATGGGTTTAGGGGATGATCCTGACCCTGGCACAGGGGACAATCATGCTGGTGTCAGCAAGGTCACCCACAGCAGCTCCAGGCAGTCCCTCCCTTTCCAGCTCTAAAAAAAAATTGTCCTGGGCCTCTTCTTATCCCCGTCTCAAAATCCTGTGCCCCAGAGCACTGCCCCTCTCGCTGATGAAGCCACCAACATCCCTGGGACACAGCTGGGGACCCAGCCAGGGGTGTGGGCAGAGGTGCCAGCCCAGAGGAGCATCCTGCATGCTGGGGTTCTGCATGGAGCTTGCAGCAGCATTTCTGCAGCCTGAAAAGCACTCTGCCATCTCCAGGATGCTCCTACAGCTCCCTGTGCCATGGCCCCGTGATCCCCTCAGGGCCCAGGGTCCATCTCCCTGCTGAGGAGCTGAGAGAGATTCAGACTTGGATTGATCCAAACCTCCAAGTGCAGCATTTTTATTCAGTGACACAAAGGGAAACGGTGCTCAGGACAGCTCAGCAGTGGCTGCATTACTCCTAAAAGTCTCCTTGGCTACAAAGGGAACTCTGGTGACCTCAGAGCCACAACAACCTGAGGGACAGGGTCCTGTCTGTCCCAGCCCTCTCCACCACACTGTCCCCAGCTCGTGCTGTCAGCCTTGACAGATTTAAGTGACTTTTTGGGGCCACTAAGCAAAACTAAGGCTTAGCCCTAAACAGCCAAGGGCTGAGCGATGGGGAGATCACAGAATCACAGGGCCCTTGAGGGTGGAAAAGACCTTTAGGGTCAGTGAGTGCAGGAAATGTCTCACTGCACAAACACAGAGGGGTGAGAGCAGATCACCCTTCATCCTCAGCAGCCCAGCACCAGTCCAGGGGACTGAGAGGACATTTCAGAGTTTAACATGCATCAGATCTCAACTGACATAAGTGTCCTGACTTGTAAGATAAGCATGTATTCTATTTACCATCTGTGGGAGGCTGGGCAGTTTTCTTATCTCTTCCAAGAACAATGTCTCCCTCTGGGGAGAATCTTCTGTTAATGGGCCATGGAATGACTCCCTGCATGACTGGGAAAGTTACATCATCCCATGGTGAGTTGCTCCACCCAGAGGGAGGATCCAAGCAGCCCTACCTGCATAAAATCAGCATTTTTGGGACATCAGGGCAGTCTCATCTCTGGATTCCCAGAGGAGCAGCTTCTTCCCCGCTGGATCCCCAGAGGAAGACCAGGCCCAACTACTCCATCACCAGACCTTCAGAGAAAACTCCACCCTTCTCCAGATCTCCGCTCCAGCAGCATTTCATCTGCCACTCCAGGAGGAGCAGCCACCATTTAACGGGACTATTACCAACACCCTGACTCCTCAGGGTGTCAGGTTTCTGACTCCATCACTAGTTTTGCTTGTACTAATTACATTTTTATTATCATTATTTTTATTTAGTTTTTCTCCTAGTAAAAACTGTTATTCCCATATCTTTGTCTGAGAGCCTTTTTTAAAATTGTGGTAATTTGGAGGGAGAGGGTTTACCTTTTCCATTTCACAGGAGGCTTTTGCCTTTTTCCTTTTTCCTTGCCTTTTCAAACCAAGACACATAAGGAATAGCAAAGGGCTGACCCTCAGAGCCCATGAGATTGCCCTGGAGGAAGCAGTGATTGGAGGTCATTGCAGGGAATTGGGTTATTTAGAGGGAAAAATACACCAGGAAAGAAACTGTGACTGCAGGAAAATGATCCAGCTGGAGGAGTCCAAGTGTCAAACGTGCCCCATTCCCGCCTGGCACACAGATACATCCAACTGCTCCTTTCCAGCTTGTTCCACTGGTGAACATACACAGTGGTAACCCCAAAATTCCCTTCCAGGATCTGCTGGGTCAGAGAAGGAACCACGCTGGGATTTGCAGGGACGGCTGGAGGAGCTCAGAGGAGATGTGTGTGCACGTGGTGGGGCGAGAGGGGTGTAGATCTCCCTTCACAAGAGCTCTGCTGCCAGCTCTGTCCAGTGCAGCCTCAGAAGGGCCCAGCCCAACCCCAGAGCATCCCTCAGGAACCTTTTGGAGCGTGGATGCACTGAGGTCCCTGAGCAGCCTGATGGATCAGCCCTGCTCTATTGCTGCCTAATGATTTTTGTCTTTTTTTCTGTATTCTCTGTATTTTTACACATGTATTTGGAGCTCTGTAGCCTATTGTTGCATTCCTAATTTGTTTTCCCAGTGCTTTTCCCTACCTTTTCCCTAGGCAGAAAGATAAAACACATTCCAAAGCCCCCATCCCATCTTAGTTCTCCCTGGGAACCAAGGCCAAAAAAAAAAAGCTCTTTGAGACTTCATTCTCCAAGCTTTAGGTAATGAAGTGATTTACCCCCAGTTTGCTCCCCCAATTCACTTTTGTTGGTACTTTTTGGGGCCTGAGGCAGTGAGGTGGCCTTGAGTTTCAGGCCTAGAGGAATTGTTTTGTCTGACCATAACGTGGAGACAATTCACAAACACTTTAGATGGAGTTTAGAGTTAGGCACTGATGCAGCACAGGGTTTGAAAAATATAAAGGGTAAAATCTTAGGGCATCAGGTGAGAGGGACTTTCTGATGAGGAGACTGTGGGAGCTGATTTGTCTGGAGAAGACTGAGAGGGGATCCCATCAATCCCTAAAATACCTCCAAGGGGTGTCAGAGGATGATGCCAGATTCTGTTCAGTGGCCATAAACTAAAACACAACAAGTTCCACCTCAACACGAGGAAGAAATTCTCTCCCTGAGGGTGGCAGAGCCCTGGAACAGCTGCCCAGGGATGAGGTGGAGTCTCCCTCTCTGGAGACATCCCAAACCCACCTGGACACGTTCCTGGTCACCTCCCACCCTCTCTGGGGTCACTCTCACCTTCAAGCCAGTGCTCTCTGCCTCGGAGCCCTTGTCCACACCCGTGATGTAGATGCCCAGGGAATATTCTGCCCCTCCTCGGATCATGAGGCCCAGGGATTTCCCTTCATTCAGGACCAGATTCACCTGCAGAGGAAGAGGAGGAGACATTTATGGGGTGTCCAAGTGCTCCCAGAAACAGAGGTGGGCCACAGGCCTGGGTGGGACAGCAGCTCCTGTGGGATTGAGGAGGCAGTGGGAACAGGAGGAAAAGCTCTGGAGGCTGAGAGGTTCAGCCACATGAGGGGCAGCACGTATGGGTGGATTTTCAGCCACAAACCAGCTGATCCACAGGAGTTTTCCACTCTCTCCTTTTACAGGTGCATCCCTGGGGTAGAGACCTGAGAACAACCCCCAAAACCCCAGGAGCACCAGCAGGGTGGTGCCAGCCAGCACTGGGTGTGAATTCCCCCTCTGGCATTGCTGCCCTGCAAGCAGAGCCATGATCCCCCTGCACCCAGACTGAACAAACCCAGCTCCAGCCCTCTGCCCTTCCCTGTGCAGGGCCACTCCCCACAGGGATAATCACCTGCCTGATTAGCTCCAATTAACAGCTCCAGGACAAACTTTCCATAAATCCAGCACTTATTGCAGAAGCCATTTCCTATTTCCCACAACCTGGGAACAGATGTTCTCCCCACCAAATGCTGATTTGCAAACCCAGCTTCCACCTGCCTTCATCCACCCTCTCCTCCTCACAGGGCCTGACAATATTTGGATGTGGGAATTTGGAGTGTGTGAGCAATCCTGTGCTCAGCTCCCTCGAGGACTCTCCATTTAAATTTGCCTTTGTTCACTCGCTGCATGACACTTTTTAAATTAATAACTCCAGGGTTGTTTTTTTTTTGCTTTGCTCCCAAGTTTTGAGTCACTTCTGGAGAAAAGCAGACAGCAGGAATAAAAACAAATGAGAAAAGCCAAAATGTGTTTCACACTGATAGAAACAACCAGAAACAAGCTGTTTGTGAAGGGCTTTTATATTTAAACCCCTTCGCTGCAGTCACACCAAAATCTTGCACATTTACCTGGGCGGATAAATAATTCCCAGCTTCAAGGCAGTAATTAATCCATCTTTCTCGAGGACACGGCATCATAGAGGGAATTCAGGCCAGCCTTAGAGGGGCTGGTATTGAAAACCCATTTTCTGTCTTGGTGATAGAAACACAGAAATCAGCAGCAGGACACAAACCCACCTAAGGCTCCACATTTTGGATTTAGAGAAATGGATGCACAGCTGGACTAAGAATTGTAAAACATCAACTACCTGTACCAGCATCCTTCTCTGAAAAAGCTGGTGTTTCCTTTCCTTGCTTTAAAGGGCAGAAAGTGCTGGAAACAATTTTGGCATTGAAGGATTATAAAGGAATTATAGAGACCTTCATGCTTCAGGCTGAAGAGACGAGCTGGGCACTGAACCCACCCAAAGGAGCAGCTGCCTGTCACATCCAAGGGCACTTTGGTTTTCTCTTCACAGGGAAACCTTGGTCTGGACCACAGAACACTTGGTTGAGTGTTTTTGAAAATGAGGAAAATATTCAACTTTTCTGAAGTGCTGTTATCCCCCAGTCTGTCTGATGGCATTTAGGATTTCCCTGCTGTAAGCTTTTCACCCCACCGTGGCTGTGCCTCTCAAAAACCCCCCAGTTTGGGGGAAAAAAATACAAATAGAAATGCAGCAAGGTGCCTGGAATCACAGATCACGTCAGAACGGACTGGGAATGCCAAAATTCCCTCTGTACGTCCCTGAATGACATTTATATGTGCTGGGGTTGGCTCCAGGAGGGGCAGCTCTGCACACAGACATTTCCATTTGCCTTTAACACTATCCTGGTAAGCTGAGAAGCTGCTCCCCCCACCTGGGAGAGCATCAGATGGAGTAAGAGATACCCCCAGAGATGTCCCTCTGTCATGAGGTGCTGCCACGTGAGCTGCTCTGTCTGCCCAAAATGTGGAGACAATTCACTAACACTTCACATGGAGTTTAGAGTTAGGCACTGATGCAGAACAGGGTTTGAAAAATATAAAGGGTAAAATCTTAAGGCATCAGGTGAGAGGGAATTTCTGATGAGGAGACTGTGAGAGCTGATTTGTCTGGAGAAGACTGAGAGGGGATCCCACCAATCCATAAAATACCTCCAAGGGGTGTCAGGGGATGTCTGCACTTCCAGAGACAGGAAAGGCACGGATCCAGAAACCCTGGAGCCACAAAAACCAGCAAACCCAAGCTGCATGTGCAGCAAACCTGGAAAATGCATCGCTGCTGGCAGCCCAGAAAGTCAGGTTGCTCAGAGCTTAATTGCATCTCTTAATCAGCTAATAGCTGCAGCTCCCTGAATGAACCCTGCAGCAGGAGCTGCTGGGAACAGCGTGGCAGAGAGCAGGGAAGAGCAGGGAACTGTCAGAATCTGAGGTATTGATAATTCTGAGATTGTAGAAAGTCTCTGTCTTTCTGCCCCGCTGCCAAAGCAGAAGCCATAATTCGTCTGTGCTGTTTCAAGGTTGTTTATTCTGTTTATCTCTACCATGTTCTGCTGCCCTGCCGCAGCTCTGTCCTGCAGGGCAGCGTGTGGGGCTCTGCCCTCAGTGGGATGGTACAAACATTAAATACCAGAAACTACCTGTGCTGGATTTACAATAACGTGCCAATATCTGTCACCTACGTTGGACAGTGTGTCCCCAGCCTGAACCAACAGAAAAATGCCAACACCACAGTGAAACATGGAGGGCATGAAGAAGGAGAAAAAGGACAAGGCACACCCAATTCCCTCCATCTTGTCCCCTTTGGACCCCTAATCTAGAATCCTAAAATTTTACTTTTGCACCCGTGTCACACTTAATTATTACTGATATCAAACACTCAGAGCTTGTAATTCATCCTGTAAGATTGAAAACTCTTTTCCATGGCCAGAGATCACAGGCAGTGTCTCTGGGGGCTCTGTCCAGGGGGGTTCCTGACCCCTGCCAGGGTCCCAGACCTGCCAGGGCAGCCAGAGGGAAGCTCTGGATTCCCACATCGAACAGCAGGAAACAGCAGCTCAGGGACACACTGCAGATTTTGGGAATGGCTGGGGAAGGGACAGACTGCTGGGCTCCATGGGGTCAGCCTGGGGAAGGAAGGTGAGGCCTTTTTGGGGCTACCTAAAAACAGAGGCCAGGCAAAATTAAGGCAATAAAAAGTAGGAATATTCATTGAAGGATCTTCAGGTACATTTCAGGCAGGCAAAGCCCCCCAGGGGCTACACCCAAAATGGACAATGGGTTTTCACACTTTTATAGGTTTGGGCCATTTGCATATTGGGGGTTCAGCTGCCAATTACAGCTTCAGGTAATGAAGTAATTTACCCCAAATTTGCTCCCCACAACTCACTTTTGTTTCCATCTCTGGGGCCTGAGGCAGTGAGGGGTCCTTGATTGCCAGGCCTGGAGAGGAACTGTTGTGTCAGCCCAAACTGGGAAAGCAGCAGCTCACACTGTGTGTGGAGTTTGGAGTTCTACACTAAAGAGCTGCAGGGTTACAGATCTATGGAAAATAGAAAAGCTCAAATCCCAAGGGATGAAAGGAGCAATGGAGGGACAGCTGATTGTTGGGCTCCCGGGGTGATCCAGGGCCCTTCTGGGAACCCACCCTCCACACAGCAATCCCTGGCCAAGCCCTTCTGCTGGGGCTCTTCCACTGAGGCTGGCACGGGTGTGACTACCACTCCAGTGCCAAGGCTTGGCCCAAAGAGGGCATTTTGGTGCCACTTCCACTTTATGCTTCTACTGCCCCCCTGGCTGAAGCTCCCTCAGGGAGAGCTGGATCACTCTGAGCTCCTAAATCCAGACTGTCCTGACACCATCCTAAACCAGGCAGCAAACAAGGGCAGCTGTTCTGTGGGGGAAACTGAGGACATCCCAGATAATGGAATGGTTTGGGTTGGAAAGGACCTTAAATCCCATCCCATCCCACCCCTGCCATGGCAGGGACACCTCCCACTGTCCCAGGTGCTCCCAGCCCTGTCCAGCCTGGCCCTGGGCACTGCCAGGGATCCAGGGGCAGCCACAGCTGCTCTGGGCACCTGTGCCAGGGCCTGCCCAGCCTAACAGGGAAGGATTCCTGCCCAATATCCCATCTAATTCTATCATCCTTCAGCTTAAAGCCATTCCCTGTGTCCTGTCATTCCATGTCCTTGTCCCAGTCCCTCTCCAGCTCTCCTGGAGCCCCATCAGGTCCTGGAGGCACAGTAACACCCAGGTAAACCATCCCCTACACCCTGCCAGGCATTCCCACAGCCCATCACTGCCCAGTGCCCTCCTCCTTCCCTGTGCCATCCCCAGGCTGTGCCCAGCCCCAGGCAGCTCCTGCGTGCATCACACAGAGCCATTTGGAAGTCCAAGGTCACAGTTTTAATTTCTGTTTCAGTGCTGAAACATCTGCCATCTCCTGTAGCAGGAAATGAAGGGAAAAAAAAGAAAAGCCATCATCAATGAGGCACTTATGAGGCACTTGCTCCGAGCTGATTCCTGCACAGGATTTCTTCTGCCTGGCCTTATGGAATTACCTGTTGACAGATTCCATTTTGCCATGACAAGAAGGCCTCTCAGACAGGAGTGAGCCTGCCCCAGCACAGCTCAGCACGCAGCTGTGTGGCTGAGGGGGTTCCAGCCATGCTGGCAGATATTTCCAGGCTGTTACTGCTGCCATGCAATGCAAAGAACGCCTCGGGAGGCTGGCAGGGCTCATCCTCCTCCTGCTTCCCAAGGAAACCCCACAGTTTGTGTCTAGACATCCTGCACACAGCGAGGGTGGGGAGGCAGAGATGGCTCACAGCCTTTAGCTGGGTCCTGGGGGCAGCTGGGGGGTGCCTGGGCTGTCCCAGTGTCACCCCTGCCCAGGGCTGGGCTGCCACCAACATCCAGCACTGGGGACAGGGAGCGGCTCCCAGGGCTGGGAGGTGACACAGAGCACAGGGACAGGGATCAAACCAGGTCCTGTCCCATCCCATCCCAGCCCAGCTCCTGCTGAGCCAGTGCTGCCTCCCGTGGGGCAGGGCTGGGCTCACACACCAGTTGCCACTTCTGCTGCTGCTCCTGCTCCAAGGGATGCC